CAGCAGGAGCAGAAATTGAGATATGAGCAGGGGCAGGGGCAGGGGCAGGGGTAGGAAAATAGAAGAAAGAGACTTCAAAAGGAGGGCAGATCAAAGGAGAGCAGATCAAATGAATTGAAGAGAATCGCAAGCGGATACCTGCCACGTTCCTAGCATCATTCTGCCAATTCCTTGTCAGAATGAAGCACACGAAGACAAAAAATTCGGCAACACCTCTCGCCCCTCGCTGACTACTTCGAACATGGAGCTCTTGACTAGAGATACAACCCGTCGTTCGTGATTGGTCAAGAAAGCATGCAGGACGTACGTCCCGCTCGGCAGTTCAGGCAGGATCAGCACACACGCCGGGTTGGAGGAGATCTCATGGCGGTCTATTTCAACAGAGAAGTTGTACACGTAGAAGTTCAAAGACACGTCGACCCGATGAATGTCGGGCTGCCGCTGAAACGCGTCGAGTGCGAACAAGAGCACCAGCACGACTCTCTGACCAGGTAAGAACTGATGCCCGGAGGCAGGGACAGCGACGATGAGGTGTTCGAGCGAGACCATGATAACTCGTCCTCTCCTCCTCACTCTTACATCCCCGTCGCTTCCCGCCCTCCCTGCTCGAAATGCATCGCTGCTGCCATAGGTGGTAGCAGTTGAGTCGCATCCGAGAACAGTGAAAATGTTAGATCGATTTTTACCTTCAAATTTTGCTGTCCTCTGCTACTGCACAGAGGCTGGCTCGTAAAACTTTGTATGAGAAAATCCTGCGAAAGTAAGTTATTGGGAAATTGTCAATGGGTACCGGAACAAAGATATGAAAGCTTTGCTGACTATCGCGAACGTGACTGGATACAAACGAAGAGGTTGCTTGGTGGGGTACTTTATGGGGTATTTCAGGGGTAGGGTGTTTCAAGCGCCCGCTGGTGATCGAAATCGAGGCTTTCCCGTTGACCTGCACCAACGATGATTTTTGAAAAGAGATATTTTCGAATTATTTTTTCTTTAGATAAAAATTACATCCCCCCAAAACTTGCATCATCAAGCCGCTTTGCGCTGACATCAGCTAGCAACGCCTTCATTGTGCTTGCGCCCTGTTTCACTGACATCTCATCATCATAACAGCAGTCTCCTCATGAACGTGCAAAGTGCCTTCAACCGTCAAGATCGACTCGTCAAAGTCGTTCCAAGACCACGGTATGGTCCAAGCACGGAAAACTCCAGCGCGCCCGTCACCCTGGACCTCGCCTTGATCCAGAGCCTCTTCCACATGCGCCAGAGCAACGCTGCTCACTGCCTCGGGATCTCCGTCACCTCCCTCAAAACCGCGTGCAGGCGCATGGGGATACACAAGTGGCCCTACAGCAGGTGGCCGATGCCCGAGGACACAGGGGAGCAACATGGCGAGGGCAACGAGGGCGACAGGAGAGGAAGGGAGGGAGACGAGGGGGGCCAGGAGATGTGGGAGCTTGAGAGAGGGAGGGGGGGAGATCAGGAGCTGATGGAGGAGGGGCTGGATCACGTGTCGGGGACGAGGTATGCGGACTTCCGTTGAGAGGATCAGAACGGAAAGAGGAGGCGGACGAGGAGGGGGGCGGCGTATGGGCTGAGGGGAAGGAGAGATAGGGAGGGTAGGGGGGAGAGAGAGGGCAATGGAAATTGAATAGTAGGAGCAGGGAAATGATTTATCTAGTAGAGATCAGATTGAAGATCGCAGTTGGCTATGTCACGGCAGAAGGAAATGTTGGAGTTTGTCACGGAATCAGAATCCAGAAAAAATTGGTGGCCGCGGAAAATCAAAAAGGTAGTGGAAGGAAGTGTTTGGAGAAGTGTTTGAATTGAGGTTTGATCAGCAATTCACACTTACCCATCGATGGCTGAGCACTTGTACAGTTGTTCGCGGAAAAAGTACGGAAAGCACTTGAATATTGCAGGAAAGACAGATCCGTTTCTCCAGCCTGATTTGAATAAGCCGAATTCTTGATAATCCCGTGAGTGTTAGATTTAAAGTTTACGATAATACAAACATGTTGAAGCAAGGTCAAACACTGACGAGAAATCGAAAACGGGCCTTAAATACTTTGAGTTTTTATGTCTTTACGGCCTTTTCTGCATATGCATTCTTGAATGCCAGCAATCATGAATCCAAATCATGAAAAGCAAATTCCATCCCCAGATTCTGACGCAGCTCATGTTCTTTTTTGACGAAATCTAAAGTTGTCTTGATATTATCTCATCACCCTGGTAGGCAGTGTGTCGATTGAGATGGTTTGATGGACTAACTCGCGACATTTGAAAGCGACTTCATCCTGCTGCTTCTTCTTCCTTGGCTGCTGCTGCAGGGTTGCATGAAGCAGGATGTTGGCTCCGCGTTGGCGAGCTGAGCAATGCTTTTTTATTTGTTCGAGAGAATTGTTCGGCTCACGTGATAGTTCTACAGTTCGTTGAAAACGTTCCCTGCCTACCGAGAGCTATTGCATTGACACAATCTGTGGTACACCAGACCATGCCTCATACCGAGCATGCCTCGTGCGCATGCTGGGAAAGGAGCTTCATCTCCCAGAGAGCAGTAGTCATCTGTCTTTATTCTTGTGCTGCAACAATTTTGAGCGCAGTTCGTTCATCTCACTCTCGCAGAACCTCTGGCTGCAAATCTGATAGATTTTCATCCTCGAGCGACATCTATTGAGAAAACCTCCATGTTTCAGAGAGAGCTCAATTCAGCATATCGCAGCTCAAACTCTGTCGTCTAGATACTAAATTTCAAGCATGATGCAGGAAGATTTGCATGCATAAGAACAAAGTTTCCCATGACCAAACAGAGAGACAGAAAGCTACAATAAGTCTCAAACAAAATCGTGCTTTTCATCCAGTTGAGAGAGGCGACTCGTCGTCCTAAAACGGCAAGACACCTTCATCCCCTCCTCCTTCCCCGCAGTCAGGTTGCACACCTACTATCCATGAGAGCTAGCGCCTCCTCTGTTTCATGTCTTGCTCCATTCCTGGTCATGCTCCTTGTCCATCAGCTCAAGACTTCTTGGATACCTCGACCCCGCAATGCGCGACTGTCATGTCGTCAGGTCATAAAACATATGATATTTACGAGAATTATATATAACCAACCATCTGATTTCACGATGTTATGTATAAACCCATAAAACCCTTAGCGCACCCCACCCCTACCATTTCTTTTAAGACCATAAAAAAGAACACCACCCACCCTTACTGCCCTCAAAGGACCCATGAACAACCCCCTGATAAAAAGAGGCCAATGAAAAAGCGTCAAGCCTCCGCCTTCCGCCCTACTCGTTCCGTCCTCCGCCTCCTGCCTCCTGCCTCCCGCCTCCCGCCTCCTGCCTTCCACCCCTCCTCTACCGCCCCCGCCCCGACCATGGCTTCATTGATTTGCGCTCAAGAATCTTCCCTTTGCTAGTTTTCGTCATCGATCGCCTGTCTCCTTTCCTCCTGGCATGCACTCCTTCATCCTTGAATTGTTCCCTGGCTCCTGACTAGGAACTACACCGTCGCTTTCGATTCCGTTAGCTCTATCTGTCAACTTCGATTGTTTTCAGAATTCATTTCTCACATCTTCCTCCGAGCTAAACACTCCATTCCCTTTCTTGTTGACAAATTATTTCTGCCTTTCCAGGCAGACGCTGTCTATTTTGGTCAGCAAAAATCAAGTTCGCTTGAGTTCAGAAACTCCTACACACATCAAAATCTTGTTGCTGTCGCAAAATATAGGATTTCCTCATGGAGCAGCAGTCAAGGCCTTCTCCCAGCACAGTCCTGATTCATCCACGCAGACGGCGGGGAGTTAATCCTACCGCCACCCTCCCTCAGCCAATCCGTCTCCGCAGAGAGCAGGTAGAAGACTTGCAGAAGCGATACCGACAGTCAGATGCTGCATTATACCTTGGGATCTCTCTGACAGCGATGAAGAATGCGTGCAGGAAGCTTCGACTGGGCCCTTGGCCAAGTTTGCAACGCACCGGTGATAAAGAGGAGAAAGAAACTACAGCGGCAGGCGACGAGGAAAGAGAAGGAGGGGCTTCAACGGAGTATATAGAAGAGATTGTGGTCGAGGAGGAGCTGGAGCAGGGAAGCTTCGTGAAGCAGGAAGGCGGGGAAGGGGAGAGTGGAGCAAGCCAGGAAAGTCTCAATCTCTCGCATTCGAGAGGAGGATATCAGAGTAAGTGGAAGTCGGAGCTCTTTGATGAAGCTCTCAGGCATGTGTGTGGCTGTTGTCTGATGCGAAACGTCAGAGAGACGCTTTCCGAATGAGGTGTGAATCCGAACAGTTTGTCAGAACAGATATCATTAGCATTGCGCGCGCAGTTACTTGAATACATTACAGCTTTGAAAGATTTTCGTTTTCTCGCAACAGAAGCTCTATAAGCCATGCACAGAGGCTCCTGAGGGGTTATGCTCCATGGCACAGGCACCTGAGTGGAATGTGTCGGTTCAGCCTTTCAAACCCCTCCATGTTACTTACTGTAGCGACATCAGACTCGTGCACCTTGGGAGAAATTTATGAGCCATCATCATTAACAGCCTTGGTAGTCACTCCTGGATGGCTCAAGCTCAGAATTTGCTACACCCCAGGTCTGTATATGTTATTGTCGATGCCTGGAAGCAACAGGAAGTAGAGCACACACATGAACGTGGAGGAGAGGAGAGGGGAAACACGTGCCAAGGTTCTCACGAGTTGTAGCTCCTTTTACAGCCCAGCTCCCCATGAGGGAGACAGACCTGTAGCTTCCAGTGTGCATGACCTAGTAAGGTCCATACGTCTTTGGGACTGTAAGGTGGTGTTGTTGCAATCCTTGGAGGTCCTGAGAGGTTTGAGACCCGGTTGTTCTTCTGCTTGCTGGCACCAGCCCTCACAACCACATGTTCCATGAGACCCCTACTTTCGACTCGATAGCATTCGCAGGGTCCTCGGCAATAAGGTGAGCTCCGTGTAAGGAACACGGGTCGGTTGCGTATCAGGGCCAGACAGGGTTAAGCATAGCATATCTCATTGAGATTCCTACCGTTGTGTTACAAGAACTCAGAAGCAGCATCTGACTTTATCTTTATTACTTGTATGATTGTTCTTTGATTGCCCCCCTCGTTCCAAATCAGCAGCATTCCCTCCTTTGTGCCGCGCAGCACCCGTCAGACACAAGCGTGTTACTGGTATCTGGTCACGCGACTGCTTTTCATATCCGGAAACCAATCTTTTCGAAGATACGCGGCTGATGGAAGGCTCTAGATTTTCTTTACATGTTTTTATTGGCCTCCTCTTTATGAAAGGCTGCGTTGTTCTGCTCACGGATGCCACCAACTTCTAAGCGATGCGATCCTCCCTCCTTCTGCCCCATTGCGGGCCCCTGCTTTACTCAGTCAGTTTGCTACTGCATGAGAGCATGCCACTCCCCTCCAACCTTCACGGAATCGCTCCCGAGCCAGACCCCGAGCAAGACCTCTCCGACGCCCTCTCCTGGCAGCAAGTTCTCTTCCCAGCCGGAAGGCCCATGACTTCTTCTTCAAGCTACAGTACAGCCACCCTCTCCGATGCTGACGAGAGTGAGATCAAAGCCAGCGCAGCAGCTCAGCGCAGTCTAGACGAAACAATGCACATCAGAACAGCAGGAGAAGGAAGCGTTTCCTGCGTGTGCTTCGGCGATGAGAGGAGGTACGAGGGAGGGGAAGAGATAGCGATTGGGACATTCAAGAAGTGGATCTCGCTTCCGAGGCAGGTGGTGCTGGAGGCCAGACGACTGAGCCTTGCAATCAGAGACAAGGGAAAAGCAGGGATGCTTCTTAGATCGCTGGAAGACGCAGTTCGAAAACGAATGCAGAAATAATCAATAAATACACCTCACCAACGTAAATATGAGAATCAAGAGGTATGATTATGGTGAAGGTCCCCTGTTGGCAACCATCAAACAACATTCTAAACGTTTAATTCAATTTCAAGGAAGAGGATTCTGAAATGCGAGAGGAACAGGAGGGAATTCGGGGTTACAGGAAGGGACGGCAGGTCACAATTGTAAACAAATGCGACAAGACTTTGTAAGAAACGGATAAGAACTGCGACAGTTTTCAAAGATTATGTGATTGTTAGTGGCAAAGACTGGAACAAATCAAGGAGATACAAGATTGATTTTAATTGAATATCATCAACTTCTCGACTATCTCCGCTCCCTCCACTCCATGATTTGTTTCCTCTCAGGAAACAAACAAAGCACAAGCACATATGCGAGCCATCCCGCATGTCCCTGCAAGCAAGGTATCTCGGCAATCCAGAAATCAACAATACTTTTAAGAGGAACCCGCTCCAAAATTGTAAGCACAATCTTCTATAACTTTTTTAAAAGCTTCGACTGTACGACGGTCAGGTCCTGAAAAGTAGTATGTTCGATCTGTGACCTGAATACCTCTCCTCCTCCCTACCCCCTCCTCCTCACCCCATCTCGCAGGGCTGGTGTCATACGTTTCATCATCAGCGTTAGGTCAACCCGACAGCAGCACAGCAGACAACAACATCATCTCTCTACATCTAGATCAAGATAATCTCCGCGCGTCTTGTATCCATCATGCAGAACGATCTCCCCCACCCGGCCAACAATCGAGTAGAAGTAATCCCTAGGCCAAGATGCAAAATCTTGGGCGTCGAAAACTCCAGCGCGCCCGTCACCCTGGACCTCGCCTTGATCCAGAGCCTCTTCCACATGCGCCAGAGCAATGCTGCTCACTGCCTCGGGATCTCCGTCACCTCCCTCAAAACCGCGTGCAGGCGCATGGGGATACACAAGTGGCCCTACAGCAGGTGGCCGATGCCCGAGGACACAGGGGAGCAACATGGCGAGGGCAACGAGGGCGACAGGAGAGGAAGGGAGGGAGACGAGGGGGGCCAGGAGATGTGGGGGCTTGAGAGAGGGAGGGGGGGGGATCAGGAGCTGATGGAGGAGGGGCTGGATCACGTGTCGGGGACGAGGTATGCGGACTTCCGTTGAGAGGATCAGAACGGAAAGAGGAGGCGGACGAGGAGGGGGGCGGCGTATGGGCTGAGGAGAAGGAGAGATAGGGAAGGTAGGAGAGAGAGAGAGAGAGAGCGAGAGAGGAGAGAGAGAGAGAGAGAGGGCTATGGGGATGGAATAGCAAGTGTGTCAGTAAGATGCTTATGTTTACATGCTTATTGTGACGGTATTGCGAGAGCTTTTGCATAATCGTATGTTTGAGAACTTTGACGAATGAATAAAAATTTCATCAATTTCATCCGAACGGTCAGTTGGACGTTCATGCTTGAGGTCGAATCAGGGCACAAAAATGGATCAAGCAATTGATGTTGACTCTAACATCTTTCGCTGCTACTTTGAGGCACGACGCTCAAACGTTCACATTCAGACAAGAGGACGTGACAGCTTGAGAGTTTATGCTTATAGCAACGGCAGGTAAGATTCAAGAATCAATCACAATGGTTGGACCGCAACTCCTCCCAAAGATTACAAAATGCTGGCAGAAAAAGTTTTTCCTGGAGCAGTTCGAACAACAAAAGGAGAGATAAATAGATTTAGGAATCTGAGGGTAGAATTGAGACAAGCAAGCAAGAGAAGTTTCAGTCGCCAACAAGATCACAAGTGAGAGAATGTAAAATTTCAAGAATGAACAGTGAGGAAACGAGGAGGAATCACGTCAAAAGGGTTACATTGAGAATTGAACAAGGAGCCAGTCAAAAACAAGGAGCCAGTCAAAGGAAGACAGCGGCAGCTGAGGGGAGCAAGAGGCAGAAGGATCAAGGCTTCATGGAGCAGGGGACAAGAGATTCAGATGGGAAAGGATGGGTGAACAGAGAGGATGATGGAGGTTGGAGGAATGCAGGAGGGAGAGAGAGAGGATCTGGGGAGGAGTGATCAGCAGACGAGGGCAGGATAGACTAGAATGATCCGGAGATGGACGATGCTTGAGGGAAGGAATTCAGAGCATGGGGAGGGGAAACGGAGAGATGGGGGACGCAAGAGCGAGGAGGGGAGTGGGAGGATGAAACGATGAGGTCGGAAGAGATCTAAGAAGATGGGAGGGATCTCAGAGCATGGCAGCCGGGGGCGGGGAGGATGGGCGGGGAGGATGGGCGAGGAGGAGGAGCGGGCCGAAAGCCGCATATTCGCTGCCCTTGCAAAAAATCTACCCCTTTCCCCTTGTCCATTTTCACCCACCCCCTGCGCCGAGAATGTGAGGAGCAAAGGGAGGGCGGTTGGGCGAGGGCAGCAGGTGCAACGGAAAGCAGGGAGAGGAGAGGGAGAGGAGGGAGAGGAAGGAGAGGAAGGAGACGAGGAGACGAGATAGAGGAAGACGAGGGGGTCCTCCAGAGCTCCTAGAGGGGGTACGGCAGCAGTCATGCTCTCTTTCCCTTGTCTGCCGGCGTCCTCGTAGGACTCGCTTCCTAGATCTCAAGCTCTGCCTTCGAAGCGACGATGGTCGGTCATGCGCAGGAGGGGGTCGGCTGCTTTAGCTTCTTCTCGAGCAAGAGGGTATCCCCGGAGCAGGACGGAGCTCAGGCGACGCACTCTTCAACCAACTTTGAGGAGGCGCAAGCAAGGATCGCCGAGCTGGAGGCGGAGCTCAGGACCCTGTCGGGGAGGGGCGCAGAGATGGAGATGATGAAGAGCAGGAGCGTGGAGCTTGAGGAGGAGAACAGAGCCTTAGTCGCGAAGAACCGTGAGCTCGGCGACAAGATCCGCTCCCTGTCTGAAACAGTCAAAGACCCTCTCAGTCCGGCAGCTCCTCAGCAGTCTCCCCAACTACCTTCCCAGCAGCATCCCCAGCCTCCGCCTCAACAGAATGCAGAGGACATCTTGAAAGTCTGGAAGCTGCCGGCAGAAGACACGAGGAAGCTCGATGACCTGCTGAGGGCCGTCGGCGAGCCTGACAAGCAGCAGTTGCTTGCGAGCGAGCTCCAGATCTCTCTGGGAGTGGGAAGGGTGCTGGACCTTTTGTCTCCAGGAGCCGGGGACTCGCTCGAGAGCGTGGAGAGGAAGGTTGCTCGAGAGTGGGAGCTTGTACACAAGTCCAACGTCCTCTCGGAGATGAGAATCGAGCGGGTCGTGGCTGAGTGCATCCCCGGAGGGAGTGTAGAGGCACCTCTTGCCGCCCTCCGTGCCATGTCGTCGGACTCCCTCGCCGAACTGTGCAGAACGAAGATAGCTGGAAGGCTGCTGGAGGCGTTCTCTACGGTCCCAGAGTCTCATGGAGGTCGGATAGCGCACAGCCCGAGCGCGAACAACAGCAAGTTCTCGCTGAACGAGACGAGGCTGGGCAACGAGAGCCTGCGGGAGGCAGTCTACGGAGGGATCGACGAGTTCTACGGAGGGCTGATCGAGAGGATCGGGTTGCCGCAGCTGAACCTGATGAAGGGGCTGCAGGAGGATCACTGCAGAGGGGAGGACGCGGACCAGGAGTTTGCAACCAGCAACTACAGCATCAAGACGACCTCCAGGAAGGAATGGCTGGCAGTGACTGATGCCGACGTGCGGCGAGAACTCTCTGTACCCCCGAGGGTCATCAGGGACGTGGACGAGCTCATGCAAGCTCCCCTCGCCATCAAGGCGAAACTCCTGAGAGAGGAGATCCTTGCCCTGCAGCTGTACACAGGTGAGACGCCAGTTGTGGGTGGGTGGGTGGGTGGGTGGGTGAGTGAGTGAGTGAGAACAAGGGAGTAAGAGAAGGAGCGGGGAAGCAGGAGGTAGTGAAAGGGGAGGAGGAGGAGGAGAAAGTTGTGGTGCTGGTGGTGGTTCTGGAAGAGGAGGAAGGAGGACAAGAAGGAGAACAAGGAGGAGGAGGAGGAGGAGGATAAGGTCGACCGGGATGCCTGAGGTTTGACTTGGCAGGCCCCATGTACTACAAGTACAACTTCGCTCTGCGAGCCCCGAGTGCCGCGGTCAACATGTACACGACGACGATCCACTGCATCGTCAGCGGGCTAGTCAAACTGTCTCGCCATACGTCCCTCATCGGTAGCAGGCAGGTTCTCAGGGGACTGAAGGGGCTCAGGCTGCCCGATAGCTTCTTGCGGGAGGACGAGTATGGAGTGTCGGGAGGAGTAGAGTACGGGCTACTGAGCACAACGACAGACATCAGGACAGCCATCCAGTACGCAGGAGATGAAGGGGATCCGATCGTGTTCGAGATCGGCTGCGGAGCGATAGATCGCGGAGCCAGCCTTGAGTTCCTGTCCCAGTACCCCGAGGAAAAGGAAATCTTGTATCCTCCACTGTCATACTTGGAGGTCATGCGGCAGCCGAGGTATAAGGAAGTAGGAGGGCAGCGAGTGAGAGTGCTGGAGCTGAAGATCAACGCAAACTTGACGAATCTTACGATCGAGGACTTTGTTGGTAAGCGCAAGCAGCTGCACATTTCGCTCATGGAGAACTTGCTGCGAGAGGTTGAGAGGGACGTCAAGGACTGGGAGTCGAGGATCCAGACCCGCCTCAAGACAGCATCGTGGGATGCCTCGCAGAAGTATGACGTGCAGCTGACCCAGTCGATCATCGACGAGTGTAAGGAGCTGGTGGAGGAGAGCAGGGGGAAGACCGCAGAGTGGTACAACGACGACTGCCGCTACAAGGATGCGATCGAGCAGTCAAGCATGACACGGGAGATGGCGATCAACAAGCTCAGGTTCTGGGTGGAAGACACGATAGGTGACGAGCAATGCTCCGACTTGTCTGAAGAGACAATGAAGACAGTCCACTGGAAGTCCATGTCAAATCTCACCCGAAAGATCAACAGCAGGGCGGCCAAAGACTCAGAACGACGAGATCTGAGCAGAAAGCTGTGTCAGATGTACGGCATGCGGGTCACCGACGAGGACGCCGACGGCGATCCGCCTGTCGTCATGGCGGTCTTCCGAGGGCAGGGCGAGCTGATTCCCTTCCTCAAGACAGCAGGGTGCGATGTCAATGCGCTCCTGAGCAACGGCAGGACGGCGTTGCACGTCGCTGCCATGCTGGGGATGAAGGGATGCCTGACGGAGCTCATGGTGGCAGGAGCCGACGTGTGGGCGGTGGATGACTATGAGTGGACTTGCGCGCATGTCGCGAGCTCTGAGGGGCACGTGGAGATGGTGAAGTTCCTCAAGGAGCAGTGTGGGCAGGAGATCTTGGTGCAGAAAGAGCAGAACGGGTTGACATGCGCCCATCTCGCGAGCAAAGGAGGATACTTGGAGGTTCTCAAGTACATCAAGAAAGTCTGCGGCAAGAACGTCTTCGTGGAGAAGGACGATAATGGTGAGACTTGTGCTCACAAGGCAAGCAAGGAGGGTTTCCTGGAGTTGGTGAAGTTCTTCAAGGAAGAGTGTGGGATAGAGTCTCTCATGCAGGAAGACAAGGCTGGCTGGACGTGCGCACATGCAGCAAGTCTGAACGGGCACTTGGAGGTTGTCAAGTACCTCAAGAAGATTTGCGGCAAGGAAATTCTCCTCAAGAAGGAAGGGGACGGTAGGAGCTGCGTGCAGATTGCGAGTGGTGAAGGCTACCTCGACGTCGTCCAGTACGTCGTTGGCATTTGCGGGAAGGACCTGCTGGTGCAACAAGACTCTCTCGGCTGGACGTGTGCGATCGAGGCGAGCAAGGGGGGATACTTAGACGTCCTTGAGTACATCAGAGATCAGTGTGGCAGTGACGTGCTGAGTGTGCCGGAGAAGGAAGGCTGGACCTGCGCGCATGCTGCTGCAAGTGAAGGACGTCGGCAGGTGGTCGAGTTCCTCAGGAAAGAGCTCGGGCGCCCTTGCCTGCAGCAGATAGATCAGGAAGGAGAGACGTGCGCGCATGCTGCGAGCGCCGGAGGCCACATGGAAGTTCTGGAGTACATCACAGCAGAGCTGGGCAAGGAGGTGCTGCAGGAGAAGAACAACGACGGAGAGACGTGTGCGCATGTGGCGAGCAAGAAAGGGCGAATTGAGGTTGTCAAGTACATCCAAGGAGAGTGCGGTAAGGATGCGCTGCTGGAAGAGAACAAGTCAGGACATACTTGCGTGCTGAGTGCGAGCGAAGGAGGTCAGGTGGAGGTGTTGAAGTACCTGAGAGAGCAGTTCGGAACAGAGACTCTGCTGGCCAAGTGCAAGAATGGGGGGACATGCGCGCATGCTGCAAGCGCGGGAGGTCGAGTCAAGGTGCTCAAGTACATCACGGCAGAGCTGGGCAACGAGGTGCTGCTGGAGAAGAACAACGACGGGGAAACATGCGCACATGTGGCGAGCAGGGAAGGGCGGGTGAGAGTCTTGAAGCTGATACAGAAGGCTTGCGGCAAGGACGTCTTGCTCCTTGTGGACAACGACGGCAACAGCTGCGCACATGCTGCGAAGAATGCGAAGCGTCGGAAGATCCTTCAGTATCTTAAAGATCTTGGGGTGTGGATGAATGGCGAGGAACAGAGCGAAAAGAGCAAAGCTGGAAGGGAGGACGAAGGAGAGAAGACAGTGGGTGATGACGTTGACGACGACGACGACGACGACGACGACGACGACGACGACGACGACGACGACGACGACGACGACGACGACGACGACGACGACGACGACGAAGAGGAGGAGGAAGAGGAGGAGGAGGAGGAGGAGAGGGAGGAGGAGGAGAGGGAGGAGCAAGAGGAGGTAGACGGCCAAAACGACGGCAAGGTAGACGAGGAGGTACAAGAACAAGAAGAACAATAAGGAATCAAGCTAGAAAAGTCTTATAGATGCATATTTACGATAACATTCCAATCGTGTTTTTAATCTTTCATGGTGGAATGAAAAAAAACTACCCTGGACCTCGTTCTTCATCCTCAAAACAAAACAAAAGCTGGGAGAGCTTCAGTGAACAACATAGCAAAGACATTACAACATCGACATGTTCATGTACAACCAAAGACGAGTTGATGTGAAAGATGCAGCATGCCAAGAACAAGCAATGAGCCATGCATGGGAAGGGATGGAGAACTCGAGCGGAACAGACATGGAAGACTAGGAGCGAAAGGGGTACGAATGGGCGGGTGAAGAGAATAAAATAAGGAATGGAAGGAGAATGGGAAAAGAGAGGGGGTGGGGCCACTAGGCGACCCTCCGCCGGTTGAGGCTCTGTTTAAGGGTGAAAGGGGAGGCCAACTTGCTTATCCAAAATTGAAGGGGCAGGAGCAGGAGCAGAAGCAGGAGCAGGAGCAGAAACAGGAGCAGGAGCAGAAACAGGAGCAGAAGCAGGAGCAGAAACAGGAGCAGGAGCAGGAGCAGAAACAGGAGCAGGAGCAGGAGCAGGAGCAGGAGCAGGAGCAGGAGCAGGAGCAGGAGCAGGAGCAGGAGCAGGAGCAGGAGCAGGAGCAGGAGCAGAAACGGAAGCATCAGGAGCTGAAACAGCAGGAGCAGCAGGAGCAGTGGCAGGGAAGGAGCAGGAGCAGGAGCAGGGGCAGCGACAAGTGCAGGAGGAAAGAAGTGCAGAAGGAAGGCGGGGGGGGGGAGGGTTGGGAGGTAAAAGAAAACTCGAAGAGAACGAGGAGAGCACGCAAGCAAGAGCAAGCAAAGAGAAGGAAAGGGGGAGGCAAAGAGGCTTGGAGGGGACTTGGGAGGGCGGGGAGGGGAGGGCGAGGACTGGGGCGAGGACTGGAGGGAGGGGAGGGGGGAGGTTTTGGGCTTGGAGCCTTCGGGTGTAAATAAGGTAAATATTCCCCATAGTGACTTACTACCATTAATTTTACTTATTTTATAAGGCTACCGCCGGTCACGGCCACACGATGTTGATCCACCCCTGTATACCTCTTGTAACCACCCCACCTACACGTCAGGCCTTGAACTACCTCGTTTGTATCCTGTAACCTTGTCCTACCCTACCCTCGGCCTCCCTTCGACCTACCCCTACCTCCCAAGATATAACAAAATTTCCCCCTAGTTTAGGCACTGCCTCTGACGCCCTCTGAAGCGATGGCTGCCGGGACTGTCCCCGACCCGCATGCTGCCGCCCCCTCCTCGAGCACACCTGCTCTTCCATCTAACTGTCTCCTGCCATCCTCCTTCAGCCCTTGTTGATTTTCTGCCTCACCTTTTACTTGTCATTCGTTCCCTTCTTCATTCTCGCCCTTGCCTTATCTCGAACTGTTCCCTTCCCCCACATAATCATTGGTATATCAAAACTTGACGAAAACGTGTCAATGTACAGATTTCTTTACTATTTCATCTCCTCACATTATGATTTCACTTTTGTGCTCTTCTCTTAGCCGATCACTCAGCGCGTCCTAGAACCACTTCTCCTGTTGTAAACCTAACTTTGTCTGCGCGGCCTAGCATAGCCTGACCTACTCATTGCTCTGTTGTCAGAAATTCTCTTCTCCACTATCTTATCTCTGATGTCGTCAACTTTTGCTTCACTCTCTTGCTCTTGATTCCTGAATTTAATCACATTTTGAACATGCACTCCGCCACACGCATACGTTAGGGTCGCTCAGTCTTTCCCTTTCAAGCTTTTTCCTTTGTTGCTGCCACATGCTTGAACGTCCATATTCTTGGTAAAATCTAGCATCACCACCCGATTTGTAAACAGACGTGATCATGTAGAGCTACTTGATAGCTTTATATATCAGCGATGGAAAAATTACACTCTTCTCTTTCCTAACAGCCTTCTGTCACGCTGTTCTCAATATCCAAACCCGATCGTGCTCCACTCTAGCTCTTTCTCTTGATCTTCTTGTACTAGAACATGATTCACTTCACTTCATGCCTCCTGTGAGACAACTTTGTGTTCTTGTCATGCTTTTCTTGAACGGATGAGACATCCGTTAGTTGTCTCATGTAGCTGACCATCCTGACAGGGGTTGAAAACTTTATCGCTGTCAACGTCAGTTGGCAATCATGCAGCAAGGGTCTCGATCTCCTCCCAGCACAATCCTGGTGCATCCACGCAGACGCAGGGGGGCTCCTCCTACCGCAACCATCCTTCCACCCATTCGTCTCCGCAGAGAGCAGGTAGAAGACTTGCAGAAGCGATACCGACAGTCCGATGCTGCGAACTACCTCGGAATTTCTTTGACGGCGATGAAGAATGCGTGTAAGAAGCTTCGACTTGGCCCTTGGCCATGCTCACGCACTGGGGACGGAGAGGAGGAAGAAACTACAGCAGGACGCGACGAGGAGAGAGACGAAAGCGAAGGAACTTCAACGGAGGTGATAGAAGAGATTTTGTTTGAGGAGGAGCTGGAAGAGGGAAGTTCCGACAAGAAGGAAGACATGGAAGGGGAAAGTGGAGCAAGGCAAGAAAATCTCGATCTTTCGCAGTCGATAGGAGGTCGCGACGTGAGATGGAAATCAGAGCTCCTTGATGAAGCCCTTGAACACGTGATGTCATGACTTTGGCAGGAGCTTTTTTTTTTGTTTTTCTCGTCAATGGAGATGATTGAGAAAACAGGTTAAAGAGTTTCACGTTTCAGATTCTTTATGATTCCCAAGGGGATTTTCTCCTACTCCCATCTGCTGTTGACTACGTTACAAGACATCCTACAGGATTTTTCCTTCCTCTGGAACAAATCCTGCTGTTGCAAAAATATACATCTAAACTTTGTCTGTACTAAAATCTGTCTGAAATGTAGCGATTGGATTGCAAAATTTGTCTTTTATGCAGCATTTTTCAGGCCGCCACTATGTCAGTCCCTGAAGCTCAGTCTCATGTCGTTCTCCTCTGAAATTTCTCGCGACCCAACAAACAGGATCGGTGGTGTTGAAGAAAAGATACAAGAGAAGTTGATTGCAAGAAGATTGACGATGATCAGAAGCAGATACAACGCTCGCCATCACTCAGTCAACAAGTGCACCCGTTGACTCGATCGGCGAACGTCTGCAGAAGAAGGAAGACGAGAACGAGCGCCAGGAAGGCTCAAGATTAGAGTGGCAAAAGCCCACAATTAAGAGCTCCTGGACAGCCTCCTGATTTGTCACGTGGCTTGCCGAACATTACTGTTGTGAGCAAACGTGACACGCCAGCTGCATCGTGGAGCGCGAGAGAGATGGCAGGGCGGACAATGAAGGGGCTTTCGGACATACATTGCAATCTCTGCTAGCGGCAACTTAAAAGTTGACACCATGGAACAGTCGACACCAATCGGGTACATCACTCTTACATCCCCGGCATCTTGAAGCCTCCAGGCATTCCTGTCAACATCCGCCCGTCACTTCGAGTGCGGTTGAGCAAAAGAAACGACAACCTCCCATCCCCGGCATGCCGCCCATGCCGCCCATGCCGCCCATGCCGCCCATGCCGCCCATGCCGCCCATCCCCGGCATGCCACCCTTTCCTCCGCCCATCTTCGACTGCAGGAACGAGAGGTCACAGGGAGCGTCGAGGGCGCGAGCAAGTCAGACCTGAATCTTCATGATGAGGTTCATGATCTCCGGGTCGTTGGCGTACTTGGCCATGGCTGTTCAGCATCGCTCAGCAACTCATCGCCCTCAAGCTCAAGGAGGCTCAGAACCTGCCGGCCCTCCCGTTTGCATCTCCATCATGGCCTGCAACGACCCTGAGTGGCACCTCCCCTCACGAGCCTGCCTCAGTCCTACCTGCATCACTTTTGGGTTCTGCATCGCCATCATGATCTCCGGGTCATTGAAGATTTTCTCCATCCCGGGAGGGACGTTCATCCCGGCCCCCCCTGCCTGCTGCTGGAAGTCCATGAGACGTTCAGCTCTCTCCCGTGAGATCCTACCTCAGCCTGCTGAGCCCTTTCATTCTCCTCCTCCACCTCCTGCAAGTCGGGTTGGTGAAAACTTCAACGTTCTTGCTGGCACCATTTACCTTAGCTCTCTGCCTAATCATCTCTTCTCTGCGCCTCTCAAGTTCCTTCCTCTTCTCCTCTTCCTGCATGTGGCTGTAAGTGCATGAAGACTGGGGAGCTGAGACAAACCTCTTTCTTCAATTGCTTTTGCCTCTGCTTTGCTTCCTTGGCGTGAACCTAGAATTGCCCGTTTATCAGCACTCGCAGGCAACCTACAATTCACCTTGTCGGACTTGGGCTGAATCTGCTTGCGAAACTCGTCGGTGTCCTCGTCGAAGTCGATTGTTTGACCAGTTCCAAGGTCCTGAAAGGCAAAACCTTGAGGCATTAGAAACCGAGAATGGATCATCGAACCTGTACAGCCTCCACCCACTTCCCGAGCATGGCGTAGGCCCTTCCTCTGGAAACCAGGGCTTGTTAAACTAGATCAGCAAGGAACTCCTCGCACCTTGTCTTGAAGGCTTTAGCAGAATCAGGGTTGATCTCGAGAGCCTTGTCTGTGGTTCAAGATCAACTTCTGACTAGCCAAAAACGCATGTAAGAACGAACCCGTGTCACGCTTGGCTGCCACAGGCTTCTTCATCTTCAAAAAGCAGTTTCCTCTCGATGCGAACGCCATGGCCGTTGGCGAAAGTTTGATGATTTCAGTCCTGCAGGCAAGTGTGACCCTCCATCGAAAGGAGGTAGCGAAAATGTCTACCAGAGGTCTGCTGCTTTTGCATAGTCGCCATTGCCAGAAGCCTCCATGGCCTGCGGCTTGAGCTCTGCGACCTGAAAGAACGATTATGAACGGAGGAGGCAAACACCTCGAAGACCTTGGCGTAGTCGTCGTCAGTAGGCTCTCGTGTAGGATCGCCCATATCTGGCATTACGCTGACGTCCCCTACAGAACTTGATTTACAACGGATGCAACGGCTGAGCACAGGGGACCATCTTCTTCACGAACAATGTCCTCGTCGTCCTCCATGTCATCTTCTTCGTCCTCTTCTTCTTCTGTCATGTCGAATCAAACCAGCACCATTTCGATGTGAACCAAACAATGCACTTGCTTGCAATCTCTTACCTTCAGCCTCTGCACGAGTACTCTGTTTGGATCTTTCGTTGCTTTCTGCACCAGACGTCTTGTCATCAGTTGGAATTCTGCCGCCATATTCCTTGATCAAATCACGGAGAAATCCAAGTTTTGCATCATTGATAAGTTCAGGGTTCTGTTCAGTTGAGGATCAGTCTGTCAGGAAAGCAATCACTATCAAACTTCATCGTCAAACCTTTCGGATCTTCTCTACAACATTGGCTGCACCACTGACGTCTTCGTCGTTCAAAGTCGTGTCTTCATCATCCATCACCTCCAACTCCACGCCCCCGCGGAGCCTCATGTTCAGGGATCGAGTTGGGCCCGCAAGGCTGCTGACATGTTTCCAACCGGGTGCTCCACGACCATTATTCCAGGCAGGTTCTGGCACATGACCAAGTTCTGACGCGTAGCAAGATGAGATGTTCTCGATGGAGAAGAGCAGGGAGAGCAGAGCGCTCAGTGCAAGCATTCTCGTCGCCGTCATTGATCTGCACCTACTTCAGCGATTGAGAGTCCCACAACACAAAACAGTCAACAATGAGGTGGTTGAAATCGTGGTCGGTTCACGATGTCTCACAGGACTACATCTATCCGGTACCGACTTCTCCCCCTCAAGCACAAAAATTGACAGACGAACTTCTTTCGAGGTGTCAACACACACACACGCGTAGCAACTGGGGAGCATTGTTGAGGGATCAAGTGCACACAGGCTCTAATGCTTTGCACGCTACCCATGAGGGAATTCCATGTATCGAATGCATGTTTTGCTACCACTGCTGCTCATTCAGCACACGCATCACTGTGCACATTCAATGTGAAGGAACACCAGCACACGCATTCCCAAACCTCTCCCTTGATCGTTCATTCCGCGTTCTTCCTGGTCGGCGATATATCCCTTCTTTCGTCTTATCATGATTTCCCCTCCTCTGATCTTATACTCTGATCTTCTCTACTCTGTTCTCATCTTCTTTCATCTTCTTCGCATCTCTTCTTCCCTTCATCTCTTCTCCCCCTCTCTCTTCCCTCCTTCCTTCTTCAGTATCCTGCATCCCTTCCGCGCCATGATGCGCCCTAAAGTATACGACTACCCACCCACTCTAGTCATTCCTCAAGACCCTACCCTCCATCAATATCGTAATGTGAAGGCTTTCGTTTCTCAGTACCCACATAGACATGAAATTTCTTATTGATAATAATAGTAAAAGAGAGACATGACTTATTGTATGCCTTTTTTCAAACAGCAAAGAACCCAGTACCCGTATATTTGTATCACCCTACCCGTACACGAGACACATGCCCCTCTCGAGGAATTCTTGTAGAACACCATTGGTAAGCTTACTTTACTCAAAGTTAAGTTAAAATCATTACGAGTAGGCACTTGGGCTCGTTTGCTGTCACCCGACCTCATCCCCGCTCCACCGTAACGGGCGCCGCCGCAGTGCCTCAGTGCTGGCCGGGCGGCGGGCATCGGGCAGCGATGGGCCTGCCGCCCGGGCACCAGGGCCGGCCATCATCAGAGTCCGAATGCTGGCCTGACCGTACCATCACGCGCCGCCCGACCGTCCGACGGCCGTCGGCGCCCGGCTGGGCCCCGGGGGCCCACGGCTCAGTGACTGGCTCGGCGCCGGCGCCGGGGGGCCGCTGAGTGATCGGATCCGGTGACTCTGTGACCCGACGCAGGCACCGTCACGGTGCCCCGGGCGCCAAGGCCCGCAGTGAGGAGTCCGGGCCCGGGACGACCGTCCGATCATGGCATGTCGACGGTCCGATCGATGATCATCGGATCCGCCGGGCCCCGCGGCCCACTGCCGCGGCTCCCGCCGGCGGCGGCGGGCCCGGGGGCCGCGCCGCCCGGCCCGCACTGCCATGACAAGTCAACCGTTGAAGAGAACACGGTCCGATCCTGGCATCAGTGGCAAGCGGCCCAAGTTACCGTGGAATGCGCGCCGCCGGGCCGGGCCGGCCGTACCGGCGCCCCGGCGGGGCAATGCGGCCAACTTCGGCTAACTTGAACTTTCAACTTGCAAGGCGGTGGCACTGAGTGCCGCCGGGATCTCTCGGTCGCCGGGACCACGACGGTACGGTCACCGTGGCACCGTCACGGCGGCACAGGCTGAGTGGCCGCCTTCAACTTCCCGGCCTGAGAGTCACTGGCCATGTCAACTGCGTGTTATTCGCCCCTTTTCTGAAGTTGTCACGATCCTTCACTGGCATCGTGCGTATCAATTCCACACGAGGTGACCGTCTTCAAGGCTTGCTTGATTCAGCATGCCATGATGCTCGAGTCAGATTCCGGTCAGAAGGCCTACAGACTCAATAATGAGTTACAACTTGTGCCCCGAAAGTGGAAAGCATAGCATCAGCATAATGAAACCAGCTTGGAACGGAAACAAGCATCCGAAGAATGGATCGAGAGATGCTGTGCAGCTGGCGATGAAAGCAGCAAACTTTTCAAGTTGAGGATGAACGAGTGAGTATAGCTATCCGGCGCTCAGTTCAGCATGCCAGGGCTGAGCTAAAGCCGACCAGGTGATCCTTGCTGGCAAGGACGTGAAGCTCATTACCTAGCACGTGCAATAAGTGTGGGCGATATGATCTTGGGTCAGGTCTACCGCAGCTTACTTTGTATCGACTCATTCTATTATTCGAAGTTCTGATGAACGGCAGCAGTGGACCGAAGCAGCGTCAACAGCGCCTACGCAACTGGTTTGCATATCACGTTTACTCTCCTGCCGAGTCTACACATATTAACAAAGAGAAGAAGAACATATAACGCATCTCATGTAGCCATCATATCTTACACACCACATGGAAGGAAGCGAGCATCAGTTTAGATGAAATGTCAGATGAAATGTCACGTCTCCGCATTTCTGGCCATAGTACCCCTCATCAATATATCGAGGCGTTCCCCTCCAGATCGAAGCCAATCATCCATCGAGTTGAAGGCAACGAGAATGGTCAGGGGGGTTCCAAGTGCCAAAGCTGACCAATCTCGTTTCCTTCAATCCGATAGGTTCTAGAACCCACCGAACCCCATATGACGGCCCGAGCAACACGCTCTGATACATTGATAATGCTCCAATTGAATTATGCGATTGTCAGCCATTTTAGCATTATTCAGTCATCATTATTGTTGCATTGTCAAAGGACTAAGATGGGCCTTGGGGCTTGCCATGACCCGCACTCATGGGGACTTAACTACTAGGAACTCAGTCGGTGGACCCCTTGTCCTTCCTTTTGTACATCTACAGAAAGGTTTCCTTGAGAATATGCCGTCTGTCCTGTTTGAATCCATCTGAGGACAAAAACTTGACGATCGGCACAGAGTGGAAGAGGGAGACTTCCGAATTTCTGCCAGTAGCCCCCCGTTGCGTCGGGTTTCATTTGTTATCGTCGGGGTTTTTCGTTTTTCTTCGACCCGTTTTGAAAACTCTTCTTTTCACACAACTCCTCGCATCTCACAGAAATCTTCGTTTGGATCGGGAGTTTTTTAAAAAACAGAGTAGTTAATTGAAGAGGTCAACCGGTATAAGCCTCTAAGAATACTATTTTCGGTTTGTAGCTCGAAAGTCTTCCATACACTAGCAAGTGTATTTCTTATGTAGAGCTCTAAGTAATTCACACCTAGCTTCTTTTCAATGCTCTCTGGAAATAGAAGGGTGCAGAGTCCTTTAGGTACTGCGTGCCAAGATCGAAGAGTGCATGGGCAGCAACACGACTTCTCAATATTCAAATTACCCAAAGTAAATTGAAAATATAGTCCAAAGTCCAAATCGCTTCCGGAGGGTGTTCCTATTTTAAAAGAGTATTTAAGCGTGGGGCGATGACTTTTAAAAAACTAATAGCTCCCCGCTCACATACTAATTTTACGCCCGACCCCCGGAGCGGTCCGAAGGAACACACTTTTACATTCCCGCAGATACACCCGTTTCGAGAACCCCCTGGCGTACTCCTGACCACCCGTGTAGGCAAGAACCTCGTGTACCGATCGCTTTACCTCAGAAAGAGGCTATCTCGTGGTGGGTCACAATACTACCTTTTCGGCTATGTGGGGGGGTGGGGTCAGCAGGGCAAGGTGCTTTCTGTGTGGTCATGCAATTTTTCTTTGGACCCGTCCATTCCTCTACAAACGACCCCACTTTCGAGGAGCCACTGAAAACCCTAAGCCTAGAAGTATTTTTAAAGTCGTCACGGCTCAATGGTTATAAAGATGTTTTAAGGCGACCCCCGCCTCTCCGAGACTCCCCGGACTTTTGCGTTTGTACCAGACAGACTGCATGCAGGTGTACCCTACCCTTCACGATAAGAAATTGAAATTACAAATTCTCTTTCATTGAAAATTTATCTTTGTTATTCAAAGTATAACCATCATATTTATTTGATTTTGTACTATTTGACATAAATCGCAAATTGAGGTAGGTAGTACCCTCGACCTTGTCTTTTTTAGTTCCCACCCCTCCCACCCTACATGTACCTCTCATTCGGTGTACCCTTCAACTCACCCCACCTACCCCAGATGTACCTCCTACCTACAAATGGAACACATTAGTACCAGAAATTTTCCTTGATACCCCCCATTAAACCTGACCCCACATTACCCCTACCCCTCCATACCCAAGAGTGGGCAAGGAGTAAGAGGTGGCAGCATACGGTGTGGGACAAGAGCGCGGAGTCAGGAGCGGAGAGCACGTCGCAGAGAGACAGGTGTTGACTGTTGAGACTACTTTGAAGAGAGGTTGGAGTGGAAGAGAAGATCGGAAAGTTGTCCTTCCAAGAGATTTGATCAAGCTTCGGTCTATTGCGAAGAGTGTTTGGGCAGCAACGATCGGTTTCGATTTGGTGGTGGTCGACTTTGTAAGACGAGCGAGGGAGATTGGACTTCTGGTTCAAGCGCCAAGACCCAATACATTATCAACTGAAACACGCGGAAAGCTGCAAATTGAGTACCAACTGAGTCTTTTTTCACCGCGTGAAGGCAAATCCGATTTCGCTGGATTACTAATTGTATGATACAAATGAACAAGACTGCCATCGTTCTCCCAAGAAAGCAGAATGGCGAAGGCGTTGCCAGCAAAGACCCTGTCTGCCTTGACATGGCCAAGATTAGCAGCCTCTTCAAAATGAGTATCTCGCTATCCGCACTGCGCAATGCTTGCCGTCATGTGGGGTTGGAGAAATGGCCGTACTCAAGGAACAGAGACAAGTCCGACATGTCTGACCATCAGGTGTTCTGCTCCGACGGCTCCAAGAGTCCATCGAGCTCATCTGAGGACGAGATGTATCCCGCCTACGGTTGCATGTGGGACGCCGGCCAGCGAGGTCTTCCTGTGAGCGAGGACTTGATGCAAGAAGCTCTTCAGCATGTTACGGGGGGCCGAGAGTTTGGGGTCAGGGTGTGGTAGATCCGCTCCGAGGAAGGTCCAATTTCCATCTTGTACATGCTCTCTTGTCTGGTGAAAGACAGTTTTGGAGACTCTGTCTGCGCTACCTGTAGTCTGCTTTTTTCCTTTTGATTCGTTACTCGCTATAGCCTTTTTCCCACATCGGATGTTCGTTTATTTCACACCGCGAAAGTTCGAAATAAAACCCTGATCTCTTTCACCGATTGCATACCTCGCTCTTGGTTTTCTCCTCAACAGACAGACTGATGTACAGAACAAACGCAAACTTCTGTTCAGTGCATCATCCACCGCCGTTGAACTTGTCTTCCAGCGCTTGAATCTGCTGTTGCAATTGCTCTCTCTGGAGTTGACATCTTCATCACAAGAGCAGCACAAGGACCCTTTGAACACCTGATTCATGTTGGTATTCAGTGCCTGCAAAGAAAGATCAACAAAAGCCATTGAGAGAGATTAGTAGACGTACCGCAGCGAATCTTTGTTTCAACACCGGATTTGCAGCTCTGTTAAGATGTCATCAAATTCAGAGGAAAGAACGTGATCAAGATGTTCCTGTCTTGGTCTTCCTTCTTCTTTTTGTACTCCTCCTCCAGCTCTTGTATCTTCGCCTGTGTGGTAACGAGAGTCAACCCTTCACAAGCAACGCAGTCAAACAGCTCTTGCCTTAAGCGTGTTCATCTCCTCTAACAACATCTTCTGCTCTTCTGTCAACTCCTTGGGCTCCTCAGGAGCAGCAGCAGCCGCTGGACTCTCCCCCGCTCCTTCATCCACTTGCTCCCCATGCCTTGGTTCCTCTCCATGTCCATCAAACTCGCCTCCTTCCTGCACTGCCTGCTCCTCTTGCTGTTCTTGTCCTCCCACTGCCTGCTCCACAGTCTCCTCTTCAACCATGTCATCCAGACCGTCAAGCATGTCCTGATCTTGATCTGCCTCCTGCTGTGGCAGCATGGTCAGGCTAGGGCGATGACCAGTCCTGACTGCTCACTTGCTCTGCGGAGGCTTCTTGGGAAAATCCTCTGACTGCAATGAAGCAATGAGACAAGAGATTGAAGTTTGAGAGGAGGAGGAAGAGGATGTGAGACAAGGATCGTTACCATCGTCTTGTGGTTCTTGACTGAGAGATTGCGTGTCTGACGTGTAAAGGTCAGTTGATCATTTCATGCCACCTCTTGCAGACCTTGACCCATCACGTCTCCTTCCATCTGCAAATACGACAGTGAGATTTGAGCAGCGTCTCATCAACATCAAACTTACACTCATGTTGTCTGTTTCGGCGTTCACGTCTGGAGTAGCCCTATCCCCGAGGTCCTGGGCAGCATCAAGAGAGTGATTCTGGGTGAAAGGCAATCCTACATCGGCGGGAACGAAAGTGACTTGAGTCTGCAGAGCGATCAACTAGAGACTCGTCTCCTCTGACAGATCCTCCTTTCCTCTTACTGACCTCGTCCCCGTGATCATACACTTCTCCGTGACTGTCCGCATGATTGTCGTCACCCTGGTGGACGTTTCAAGAAACAGCCTCGGGAGGAAGGAGAGGGGGTCTCTTTCAGGGTTAGAGTAGGGATCATACCGGCATGAGAATTTCTGGATCCCCATCTTGACCTGCCGGTCAGCATGAGGACACGAGACGCGTATAGGAAGAAGCAGACGCCCATGACGACCTGACATATCCTCTGGCGGAAGGATCTTCATGGAGAAGAAGTCAGCGAGAATGAAGCAGACCGCACAAGATAGGACAGAACATCGATCTAGCTCAAGAAGAACACAAGTTCGTAAGGTGTCTTGTTACCTGGGGCTCTGGCGAGTCGTATCCCTGGGTTTGTTCGAGCTGATAGAGGACAAAATGAGGAGAAGGCGTGATATGGCAAGAAGGTACAACATGATTGGCAGGGGCGCCAGCATCTTCCATCTGTGAAGTTGTAGACGTCAGCATCGGTCAGGGAGTGAAGGATTGGAACGAAACGGGCTGAAGGAGAGAAGAAGGAGAGGAGGAGTAAAGTTCGCGGATGAACACGAGAAGGTCATGATGTGTCGAATTGAATGCGAATGATACACCAACAAGGTCGAGGACACTGTTCTTCACCTCAGGAGGATTCTCTTCATCGTCAAGAAGTGCGTTCTCCAGCTCCTCCGCGAGTTTGTTCTCCTGGTTGTCTTGCTGTTCGGTGAGAAACGACATCAGCACCCGACTGACACACACTCAACCCACCTCCACAGTATCCAGCTCTGCCTGGGCTTCGTCGTCCAGCTCCGCTTCCAGCCGGGCCTACAAACAAGCACGCCCTCAGCAAACAAGCTGCTGTCCTCCCCACTGATACTCGATACCTCCTCGTCGAGATCGAGGGGAAGCTGGTTGTCATGTACTGGGGACGAATGCCACGTCACGATCAGTCGCTCTCAAGTCAGTCAATCACCCATCAGCTCCTTGGGCATGTCGCACTCGGCCTGAGTCATGAGACCTCCAGCTCCGTCTCCTACTCAGCCAGTCAGGGAGGGACAGTGCAGAGGCAGGAGGATTTCACCGTAACATCTCATCTTAAACCTGACTTTGGTAGCAAGGAAACCAACCTGTTGTGACAAGTTCAACCAACTATGACGATCTCGATGGTTGTTGTTGTCGTCGTTATGATCACTCGAATTACAATCATTTCCATAGTCATCATCATCTTCATCACCATCCTTGTCAACATCAACTACGTGTACTAGTTTTTGTATCTGTACTCGTACTCCCTCTACTCTACATCTTATGAGGCACCTTCATATCATCCACCATCACAACGACCGATAACAACAACTTACCCTCTTGTGGTTGTCCTGGCGATACGCTCGTCCATTTTTTCGATAATACATCTCACCATCCTGCAACACACACATCCGGCAAGTGATCAGCATGTTCAAGCTCTGCCCTGTACTTCACCTTCCCGCGATAGGGCTCCCCTCCTCCCTCTCCAATGTCTTCGTTTTCTGCCCCGTTGAAAGCCGTCGGCTCGCACTCCTCCTGCACCCGCGTCATTCGAGACCAGGAGCTGGACAGCACATTGTACGACAGCGCAGGCATGTAGCAAAGGAGGACAGCGTTCAGGGAGGTAAGGAAATGTACACAAAACAGCAGAACAATCACGTAGACAGCAGATGTTAGCAAGCAACAATCAAACATCTCCGTTCCTCTCCACACATCGACAGAGACAACGGAAAACAGAAGCAACAAACTCAAAGACCATTAGCAATCTCACCTCGATTTCCTCCACTTCCGTATCTGCAAGCATCATGAGTTTTCACTACATTACGTTCAAGCTCAAAGTAAAGAGTTCACCTGTTTGCTCTGCCCCTCTGCTCAAGAGCAACACGAAGAAAGCCAATGAGTCACGGAACAGCAACGTCAAACATGCGTCGATTCGAACTCACTTGTTCTGAAGGCGTAAGATGTGTCGTTCTGCTCTCATGATCGCGTTTTTACGATTGCGCTTCTTCTGTAACGCCCACAACCTCGTCAGAGAGCGATGGCGACAAGACCAGAAGAGAACATCTCCAAGAGTATCTACAACATTACCAGCAGGCACAGCTTCTTGTAGTGGGGGGTGTGACGTAGAAATTCCCGTGCAATCTTGTGCGTCGGGGGAGTGATACCGCTTGACAGGAGTCAAGAGCAGTCAAGGGTGGAGAGGGAAGCATGGAAAAAATAGAGTTGGGGGGGGAGGGGGGAATGTAAGGAGTTAGGATTGGGGACAGGAAAGAGTGAGGGAGGTTGGGGGGGTTGAGAAAGCACAGGAAAGGGGAGTGGTGAGGAGCAGGAAGGAGGAAGGAGTTGTTGAAGAAAGCAGACGGCAGGACGTTAGGGGTAGGAAGGAGGTGGTGGAGAGGAGAGTACCTCTCCAGCCGACCAGAGGGACGGCTCTCACGCAGAGTCTGCTCGCAATGCACATGACGCATGGTGGTGCATTGATGAGTTTTCAAACCTTCGCCTCCTCGACATCTTCGTGCACAACCATGATCTGCAGCGGGAGAGAATGTCAGGGACGAGGCCGAAGGAGAGACGAGGTGAATGCTGGGTCAAGATGTGTTCTGAGCAACCTTGCAAACACTCTCTAGCACATCACAAACTCATCCTCATCCGCGCATCCTCTTCACACGAGACACTAACCTGAGAAACATCGCATGTCTTGATGTAATCTCCACTCTTCCCATCGATCGTTCGGTAGGCCTGTCGACACGTGAGGACGCGTCCTCATCACTGCATGCTCGACTCGCCTCCACAAGAGTCGGGAGGTCGCAGAGAGACGCCGGGAGGTTCTCAACCTGAGGCGTTCCAGCGCCAATGGTGAAACATCCTGTTTCCACACGTCAAGCAAGGCTGAAAGCAACGGTATCAAGAGTTTGAGCAGGGCAATGACACGGAGAGAGGTGGAGAGGTGGAGAAAGGTGGAGGGAAGGGGAGGAAGGGGAGGGAGGGAGGAAAAGAAGAACACAAGTCGTCCTCTGGTACCTGGTCGACCTCTGAACCCGGGTGTCGTTTTTTCCTGCAGGGAAGGATGAGGAGAGGAGGGAGTAGACGCAGCATGTACAGGATCTATTCTCAGCTCGAGCCCCTCGAAGTTGTTGGCCTCGATCATGGCACGAACCTTTCCATAATGTCATCAGTGCGTGTACGGCTGCAGGGAACAGTCTTTACTCGCTGGGCATACGCGGGAGGGAGCCTCAGGATGAATGCTCTGCGGGGATTGATGAGAAGGGAGGGGCAAGAGGCAAGGTTCACCTATCTCCTTCTTCGGTGTTCTCCTCCATCCTTCGAGCTCCTCCAGGGAACTGCGAGGAACAGCTTTCTTAAACCACAACCTCCTTCCTGGTCCGCTGAATCCGCCTCTCCTCAGTCTCTGCTGATGCATATCTGCCTCCTAGCTGCCTCATTGTTGTCACATCGTCGTTTCTCTTCCATTCTTCCCTCCTCCCCTCCCTTGTTCCCTCCCTCCCTCTAGCTCTCCCTTCCTCCACCTCGCTCGTTTCTCTCAGCCTTCCCATGGTCGGCCTTGTTGGTTGACTAGAAGTAGCTGAGTAAATTTGAACCGGCGACCACCTACTGCCGGGCCCCGGGGCCCGGGGACCGGGGCCCGGCGAAGGTAACTACTGAGACGCGGCAAGGTCAGGCCAGAAACTGGCTCAAAAGTGATGTAACTGCCAACGTAACGTTAAGGCTATTTTAGAAAACAAAAAAAAAACGTCTTCAGGGTTTGAATACAGAACCCCTCTTTTTCTCCTTCAAAGTACCGGTGAATTTAACTTTGAGAGTACAACTTGGAATCTGTTTGTTCTTTGATACTGGCGCTGACGGGGCTCATGGCGGAGTAAACGGCGGATAGAGTGGAGAGAAGGGAGGAAGGAGAATGAGAGGCGAGGAAATGCTGAAAGGACGAAGGAGCGAAATATATGCAGAGAGTGTGTGATATGAAGACAGATATCCAGTCAAGGCAGGGAAGGCAGGGAAGGCAGGCAGGGAAGGCAGGAATGCAGGCAAGGCAGGAAAGAGAGAGGGAGGAAAGGAAACAAAGCACAGACGCGGACACTACTTCTGCTGTGCTACACTCAGTAGAGCTGTTGAACCACCGTGAGGATATGTCATGATCTGATTGTTGCTAACGTGGGAATGTACCAATGTCCTCCACCTACTTCGAGCTTCTTGATCTGACGCTGCCTGCCTGCAGTCTCGACGCCGTGAGGGAAATCATGGGCTGCTGCGAAAGTCGCCATGATCCCTCCCTCATGTCTTCGGGGAGACCGGAGATGTACAAGAGCTCTATCGACGAGGGAGGAAGCATGCCGGCGGTGGAACGAGCAGCCGAGGCGATCCGCGCCTCGGCTGGAGGACAGCTGACGCCTGGGGGGCTCCGAGACGTCCGACTCGCCCTCCTCGCCCTCCCTCGCGACCCCAACAGCGTCCCGGAGGTCGAGCAGCGCGACATGTCGGAGATCGTTCAGATTCTCAAGTGTGAAACTCAGAGTGCCGACTTGATGCTGACGGGGCTGGTGCTCATGCGGTACCTGGCTCAGCGCCAGGTCAACCAGAAGAGAATGGCGGCGACGGACTGCGTTTCCCTTGTGCTGCAGGCCCTTCAGATCCACGACTCGAACCCGACGCTGCAGGGAGTAGCGTGCGATACCCTGGGGAACCTGCTGCAGGAGGAGATCAATACCGAGCAGTTCCTGCAGCAGAGAGGGGTGGATGCTGTCTTCCGAGTGATCAATGCCAACATGTCTCACACGCGGGTGATGGAAGCGGCATGCTTCCTGCTAGGGAACGTGGCGTCGTCGGAGGAGGGACTGAAGCACATTGCGAGGAACGGAGGAGGGAAAGTTGCGCTGTCGGTGATGAAGGCCCATGACAAGGATCCTGAACTTCTGCGGGAGCTTCTCTTCCTGACCTCCAACGTCGCGCAGAGTCCACAGCTACAGCAAGAGCTGACGGACGCAGGGGCGGTGGAGGCTGTGCTGGGGGTTATGCAGCAGCATGTCGCGTCCCCTGAGCTTCAGGCGATGGCCTGCTCTGCCATCGACAACCTGTGCTCCGCTCCTAGCAAGGGTGAGGCGATGTTTCCATTCATGTGTGGGAGTGGAGAGGAGGGCGTACAAGACGTTGCAGAATAGATGGGAGGAGGAGACGGTAAAATGACGGGAGAGGAGGAGGAGGAGGAGGATGAGAAGTTACATGTCTACAATGATCTTGAAATTAGCGGATTCTGTTGCTCATGATTCAGACAGTGGTGGTGTATTGTAGTAGCTATTGAATTGCAGGAATGAGCTTCGGGAGATTGTGCAAGCATGGAACAACGAGGAGGATGACGAGGGCAGGAAGGAGGGAGTAACGCGGTTCAATGCAGGAACTGAAGGAAACAATAACAACACGAACGCTTATCGGCCTTCTGATTCGGCGGTAAAGACTATCATCCAGGCTGTTGACAGGCATTGCAACGATGCCTCCGTAGTGAGAAGAGGAGCAGGTAGGAGAACTTGTCCTGCTGTTCATCAGCGTACGCAGTCGATTTTGCTTCTCTGCATTGCAATCTTGTTCCGTTGATGACCCTGATGATGATTTCTTGATATTCCTGCAAGACTTTGAGCCTCGTGCTATCAGGTGCCCTTGCAACTCTCGCAAGTCTCAAGCCAGCGCTGTCAAGCTTCATCGGCAAGGAGGAGACGGTCCAGTGCCTGGTAGAGGCTGGGAGCTCGGTGCTGAAAGGGAAACAAGACAACCAGGCGGTGATTCAGGTACTGCCCTCTCGAGTTTGTTCGCTTCCTATCCCCTCCTCTCTCCCCTCCTCTGTCTCCCTCCTCTTCCCTCCCCTAAAGATCTCTTTAGAAATCGCAACCTTACTCCTCGAATCATTCTCTTTTTGCACTTCCAACTTTCATATCCTTCCCGCCCAGCTCCTTTCTCTCCTCCTTCAGACTTCATGGATCCTTACAGCCTGCTGCGTCCTCCTGCAGTCCCTCACTCCTCCTTCAGGTGTTCCGAGCCCTGGAATCTCTCGCAGACGTCAAGGAGAACAAAGCTCTTCTGAGCAGAGAGGATGGAGCCGTACAGCTTGTTATGACCCTCGTGAATGTACTTGAGCCTCTTTCGTCTTCCCTCCTTTCTCTTCTTGCCCTTTCCTCCCTCATCCCTCCACCCCCTCCTCCCTCATCCCTCCACCCCCTCCTCCCTCCTCCACCCCCTCCTCCCTCTACTTCCTCTGTCTCTTCGCTCACCTCAACCTCTGCAGTCTTCAAGTCCTCGTCCGGCTCCTGTCGCCAGAGCTCTTGCCTTCATCGCCAAATTGTGTGAGAACGATGACATGAAGCAGCATCACCCCCAGGTTGATCCCTGTCAACTCACATGTCCCTCGAATTCCGTCCTGCCGCGATTGATGTTGCTTGCTATCATCATCCTCTTAATATACTCGTCCCTCCCTCCCTCCCTACTTCCATCTCTCCTTTCCTCTCCCTCTCTCCTCTCCTCTGTCCCGCTTCATTTATTTTCGTTCTCTCCACCCTCCTTGTTGCCATTTTTTCCATCCATCTTTGACGCATCTCCGTTCTTCCCGACCCTGCTTCTATCATCGTTTTTCCCACCAGCTTCACTACCATGATTCTCGTTGTGCTCGTCCTCATCAACATCGTCAGATCAAGGAGGACTTGGGGCTTGAAATGGTCTCCTCCTCCCTCTCGCACTTCTGGAATCATCCTTCTGTCGTCATCCCGGCATGCACCATCATGGCAGGTCTTTTTCCTCCCCCCCTCCTCCCCTCACTTCCTTTTTCTACCCTCCCCTCCTCTCCTCTCCCCTCCTCTCCTCTCCCCTCCTCTCCTCTCCCCTCCTCTCCTCTCCTCTCCTCTCCTTCACTCACCTCCCCCTTCCCTCCTCCCCACCCCTCGCCTCCTTCCTTAACTTGAGCATTCCTCACCAACTTTCCCAGCGCTGGCAAAGGACACGCAGGAGGAGGAGACGATGAACGGCCACAGATCAAGCATGGGTGAGAACGTAGACTTGTGGAAGAGAGCTATGGGAGGCCTTCTCAAGGCTGTGAGGGCTCGACCCGGTATCTTCCTCTCCTCCCCTATCCTCCCCCACGCTTCCCTCTCCTCTCCTCTCCTCTCCTCTCCTCTCCTCCCCTTCCCTCTCCTCCCCTTTCCTCCCCTCCCCTCTCCGGATCCCTTCCCCTGTCCTGTCCCCTCTTCCTCGTCCTGTCCTGTCCTGTTCTGTCCCTTGCTCTCCCTTACTTATCTCTTCTCTTCATTTCCTTTCTCCTTTCCCACATCCTCTTCCTCTTTCTACTTCTCCTTCTCATCCTTCTCTTGCAGGTGATGTGGCTGTCGCTGTGAGCGCCTGTGTTGCTCTGGCTTGGCTGTGTGAAAGGAGGGTGCAGGTGAGAAGAACGAGTTTGAGTTCTTCATCCTCCCTTAGCCTGCGACCTGATTGATCCCTTCCTCCACTTTGTCCTCAGTATCAAACATGTCACAAACAGCACCAAGAACATTCACTTTTCTCATCATCATCATCATCATCATCATCATCATCATCATCATCATCATCCTCTTCTTACTACAACTACCCCCACCACCTTGATTGTCGTCATTGGTGGTGGTGGTGGTGGTTTTATTGTTATTATTGTTGTTGTTTTTGGGAAGGAGAGTAGAACGAGGGTGCTGTTGTTTTTGTTGATGATATCTCCTCCTCCTCCTCCTCCTCCTCCTCCTCCTCCTCCTTCTCCTGCTTGTTACTTTGTCAATGTGTTGCTGACTGTCTTCTCTATCAGCCGTCAACCTCGGAAGTTGGTGATCTCATGGGAGCATTCGTCATGGTCATGCGAGCGCATCCGAGGGATGCGGATGTTGCAGAGGTGAAGGAAGAGGCGGGAAGAGGCGGGAAAGAGGAGGCGAGCAAGAGGCGCAACATAATGGAGGAAACCAAGGCCCAATGTGGCTGAAGGAGGGGAAGAAGGGTTGTAGAAAGACAAGGGGGAGGGTGTGGAGGGAAGAGAAAGAGGGAAGGAGAGAGATGAAGGGATGGGAGAAGTGAAGGGGTAGGAGACGAAGAGTGTGAAGGTGGAGAGGGTTACTTCACGTGTACTTTGAGGACTCCTGGGCTACAGCTGGAGCTGACGGCATGGCCTTGCAGGCGGCGTGTTTCATGTTTTCATCGGTTGCCAAGGAGAACTCCCCAGCTATCCGCCAGCAGGCGAGACTACCTGACAAGGGCCGTGCGCGGGTGTAACTCAGAGCGTCAGGTGATCAAGTCTGGAGCTCCTCTGCTCGTCGTGATGGTCCTGCGCCACTTCAGTGAAGCCCCTGGTGATTTGCTTCCTCCTCCTCCTCCTCCTCTTTGCTCCTCCTCCTTGCTTTCTCTTCCTCCTCCTTTTCTTTCTCCTGCTTCTCCTTCTCTTCACTCCTTCTCTTACTCCTTCTCCACCTTGCTCCGTTCGCCTCCTTCTCCTCTCTCTACCTCCTTTTCACTCCGTTTGCCTTCTCATTATCATCAACTTTCTTCTTCTCCTCCTCCTCATCATCATCACCACCATCTTTCGCTCCACTCTCCGCTCCCCATACTCCCGTCTCTACCTCCTCCCCCTCTGTCCCCTCCCTTGTGTCCCTTCGTCCTCCTTAGTGTTGCTATCGCCATCGCCACCACCTCTTTCTCTGTCCTGTTTTGAATCTTTGGTCCTATTTCTTCCCTCCTTGCTCTATCTTCCTTCCTCTCCTGCTTGCCCAGCCTTGTTCCCCTCCTCTCTTTGCTTCTCCTCTCTCGCCTCCTGCTCCTTCTCCTCTCTCGCCTCCTGCTCCTTGGCACGGCATGCGCTGATCCTCTAGCAGGGGAAGTTCAGCCTGTCTTGAGGAGGGCAGTCAACGCCATCCGCCTGGTGGGTCTCGATGACCAGGCGACCGCTGGTAAGAGGCGGGGAGAGGGGAAAGGAGACAGAGATAGAGACAGAGACAGACAGAGGCAGAGGCAGAGACAGAGACAGAGACAGAGGCAGAGGCAGAGACAGAGAGACAGAGAGACAGAGACAGAGACGGAGACGGAGGCAGAGGCAGAGGCAGAGGCAGAGGCAGAGGCAGAGGCAGAGGAATGTGGGGGGTGAGAGGAGGGGGGAGGAGGGAAGAGGGAGAGGAGTTGGTGAGTCGGCAGGTCTCTCTGTCTCTGAAGAAGACTGCGAGATGCAATGGACCAGGAAAAGATGTACCAGGAGGGAGAGCAGCAAAGGGGCAAAGAGGAGCGAAGGAGGAGGAAGCTGGAACTTGATTCTTGCTTCTTTCAGGTGCTGTTCGCCTGGCTCGAGCGCCTGAGGCTCTGAAGAAGATTATTTCGAGGTTTCCCGAAAATGCTTCTTTGTCGAAATCAGGTCATCACTGAATCCCTTGCGATGATGTTTGTTGTGGTGACATGTTCATTTGTCTCCGGCAGCTTCGACAGCTTTGAACAGCATCGAGCAATCAGCATCTTCAGGCTTGTGAAAGTTGCAATTGTGTAGGAAGCAGGCGGAGCTGGAGAAGACTGATGTTGTTCTTGTATAGTTTTTCCATTACATTCGATCACTGTCGAGAAATTCGTCTATTTGTCCTCTTAAAAATATTCACTCTCACTATTCTGAAATGTGGAACGAAACCTGAGTTTTGATGGGAACAATGAATGATGATGACCACACCACATTAAACAATATCTGATTAAATCATATTGACAGCGTAGATAACAAAGTTTACAAGCAGTGCGATCTGTACATACCCCCCGCATTGAGTTCTTGCCGATCGTTCAGCTAGTGAGCATCTCGATAGCGCACATCAACAAGCGAGAGAATCGTCGGTGGTCGCAGATGATCAAAGTTGAGGAGTTGTTGTGATGCAAGAAATCATGTGTCCTCTCTCTGCTTTCAAACCAGAGGAAAGGTCTGCGTGTCGTCTCTTTGACATGGCCTGTCACAACATTTCAAAGAAAGCAGATCTTACCACTGATTACAGAGACAAACAGATACAAGTTGAAGAACACTGAACATGACAACAGACATGCTTTCTACACAGGTTATAGTTACCTGTGCATATTGCACTGTTTGAATGGTTGTGACAACAGCTTTTGGTTTGATGATGAGGATGATTTAAAGGTTGACTGTCGCCGATGACCTCCATCAAACCTATCCACTGACTCTGTTCTGGCCATCTTTCATCTTCTGATTCACAAGCTCGTTCAAGACCACGATTGTTCTCTTGCTCGCGTTGATTGCGGAAGTAAAACATTCGAAACTGATCCCAAGTCATCTCCCTCATGCTGCTTGTGATTGAGGCAGGCATCAGTGATGCTGGTAGCTGCTTGAGTTCACAGAGCAACTCTGATAGCCTCGAGTCCTGTCTCGCTGCAGATACAATCTCGTCACATGAGATCTTGAAGCCCTGATGGCTCAGACTTGAAGATCGCCGACGAAACATCTTCTTGGCTGTGAAACTACCATTCGGTTCCAAGTTCGGCACTAGCTGCTCTGGTGCCCCGTGCTCAAACATGGACCTCCTGCTGCCATGTTGAGGCATGCTGGTGTTGCTGATATGTCTTGGTGATGTGGCACCTGGTGAGACCCCGAAGAAGTCGTCGAACAACTCTTTGTGCGCAGGGACGCACATCGGGTTCCCAAAATCCTCAAGAAGTTGCATCTGAGTCAAGCATGCATGTTGGCCGTGATGCGACATGGACGACGGAGGACGCTCCTGACAACTCTGCGTCATGTTGATATCCTCCTCCATAAAGCTCGCTGACCTGGTGAGTCCAAGAAATCAGATGCCATAGATCGCATTGCTCTGAATCAAATTCTTTATCCTCCTGCCGAAAAATGATCGTGCGACTCGCTGTCGCATGATCATCTTTGAGCATCAACCTCTCTGAGCAGTACTTTCCTTTGTGCCCAATTCTTACATCCTACCTATTCGTATCTTGTGCAACGATTGTTTTCGTCACAGTGCATCACTCGTTTCTACCATCGATGTCGCATCACAACTCACGACGAGGTCCAACACAAATTCAAGGAAGGTAAAATGCTGTGGAGAAGATTTCCAAACACCATTTTTTTTCTATCCTATCATTCTTTCAACTTATGAACGACTTCTCTCTCGTTGTCTTGATGTCTCTTGCATTCTCTGAGCCGTCCTGCGTTTCACTCATATTCCTCTGTGCTAGACGTTCGCATGCTAGTTGTCATTCTCTCCTCCTCCCTAACCTTCCACATGTTTCGCACGTGTCGCCCCCCTCCTTCATCTTATCTCTGCCACAAGTCTCCGACTCATTTCGCTGCTCGTCTCCCTTCCTTCCATCGCTCCCGCCATCCCCCATCGCGTCTCCAACCATATCTCACGTTGCGTTCCCCCATTCAACCCCTACCCCCCCCTGCGGTAAATATTCTTGTACCCGACCTTCACCCCCTTGTAGTACCAATACTGTACCCCACCACCCCACCCCTACCCCCTCTGCGCCCTTCGTGTCCCCTCGGAGAGTCCAGCACACATCACATCCAGTACGGTAGGGGCAAAAGGCTCTACCACTGAGTACCGGTACTTGTTGTTTGAGATTACGGATATGAGGGGTGGGTGGTGGGTCCTTTTCGTACAATTGGTAGTTCCTTTCCGCCGCCCCTTGGATACGACCCCCGCGAGTCTACCTACCCACCATCTCGAAATTGGACCCCTCGTTAAACTAGGAATCTACCCCCTCGATTGACCCTCACAGTGAGTTTTCGGACCCCACCCCATACCAATCAGTCTCGTGGTATATCTCGCAGGACTCGGAAGTTCCAGTGGACCCAGTTTCAGTGCTTTTAATTTCAAATCTTCATTGATTCAATTTGACATGGAAGGGAAATGAACTAGGCGAATGGTTGACGTGTGAAAACTCCAAAAATCAATCTCGAGATATTTCAGCTCTGGCGCGCGCCCGTTGATTCACTGCTGCCGTGACCGGGCCCGGGCCCGGAGCCGGCGAATTCTGCGGCGCCTTCTTAGTATTGGGTCTTAGTGGAGATGAGGGTTGCAAACAGACGGGCGCAGGCATGGCAAGGGTTGTTGCGATGGTTGCAGTTGGCCTGACGTGCTGTAATGCTTACATCAGCTCTCTATACCCCCTCCCTGCCAGATCTCTGTCCACAGATCATTCCAGCGCCTTGCTGACAGGGTCCTTGAGAGGACCATGGGTTGAGCCCGCCTCTGTCGCATGCTACATGGCGGGAGGGGAAGGCGCCGGGAGCAGCGGGGAGGAGAGCCTTTCAGTGAAGGTATTCAGAGAGCAGCTGGAAAGGAAGTGGATGTTGTCAAGAATCCGAGCGAAGACTGTCTTCTTGCCCTTCGAGGAAGCTGTGAAATGGACGAGAGCGCTGGTGAGGAGGTAACGACCCACCCTTGTCAAATTTGTAACTTTGCTACAGGGGTGGTGGGAGAGCAAGGAGGAATGGCAGGAGTGGATCGAATGGGGCGAGCTAAAGAATCCTTACATCCCCTCCAACCCTGAGAGGTATTACGGAGAGCGTGGAGAGTGGAAGGGATGGGATTATTGGCTGGGAGTTAGGAGCGGCTGCTCTCCTGAGGACCTGGTGGACATTGCGACGAGGCGGACGGAGGACGGAACGCCACTTTAAGTCAGAGAACGCAGCAAGTTTGGGACTGTTCCCTAGTCGCGAGCCTCCTTGTGAAACTTTTTGTTATTCTTGCCGAGAAAAAAAACCTGCTTTCAAGTAATTCATTGTGCACACAGCGATTGAAAATCACCGCGGCGCATTTACATGGTGGGTATGTAGAACATTTACAAGATAACAACGGAGAAGCGAAACAAAAAGAAGAGATAAGTAGGAATGTCACATCATCGTGATGATGTAACATTGCAAGATGGTGGCAGAGTGAGGTCGTCCATCTGTTGGCAGTACTTGTCTACAAGATCCTGTCAGAGCCTGTCAGGAGCCTTGAACAGAAGACGGAATGATCATGATAGCTCACAGAAAACAATCCAAAACATCCTCATTCAGAACATCAGAAAATCCACAGCAACAACAAAACAAAACACTGAAATGACACTGCAAAGGATACTACACCTTTGTCCTGTGCGTCAACGACGTGCAGCCCCTCAGATCGAGCCTCGTCAACGAAGAGCACAACGGCAGAAGGTTTGCGACAGCGTCTTCGCTCAGTCTGAAAGTCTCAAAACAAGCAAAGAATGCGCGATGAAAGAAGCATCACGGAACCGATGGGAACATTGGACGTAACGAACGTAAAAGAACAGGGATCGGGTCATTGATCTGGTGAAGTGCAGCAATTGTAGTGATACCTCGAGCAACCACCCATGTCCAGCTCCCTCAAAGGCTACAATCGCATCAGCCTCTCGCACTCCAACACACAGGAAGCACCGCACTCAGAGCTGCCCTGTGTTGCTTTCGCAACAATTGACTGACAGCCTTCACAGACCCGTCTGTAAGTCTGCGACTGCTTGACCGAGAAAGATCATCGGAAACACTTGAAGTCAGAGATCAGAAAACGAACCATGCTCTCAGGTTCAGACTCTGCAGCCTTGTGCACCGTTTGCATAGGTCTTCCACGTCAAGATCCATTACCTAGAAGGCGGCATGTTCATAGATGTGATCGCAGAACGGCACGTAGAGTACCTGCATGCTCCCAGCGATCGAGACTGACTGTAAGTCGACGCAATGATCTGCAATGATCTGAATAGAGATGTTGCTCATTTGTCTCAGATCTCCCAGATTCAACGTCTGACACAGGACCAAGTAAGAAAGCATGATTGGCGTATTCCAGTGCATTACCAACAACGAAGAGCCACGATTTCTAGCGATAGATTGTATCCCCATATCCGTTATCTGCATGCATTGCGCTATCACATGTTATGTTTGATTGAGGCGCATCCTCCACTACCTTATTACACAGCTCGAGTTCGAGTTCCCGGAGAGATTTCATGCCTGCTATACTTGTGCAACCATCATCGGTTATCTGACGACATCCCACCGCCGACAGGGACTCGAGTAGGCTGCAGCTACATGCTAGGCTCTATGATCGCGTACAAATGCAAGTCAGGCTCGTACAAGACAACCAAGAAGCAGGTTCACCTCCATGGTTTTGTTGCCCACCAGCTCACTGAAAGAAAGATCGATTCTTCTCAGCGCATGGCAATAGCTCACAGCCAATGCCATGGCAGGATCAGTTATTTTCAGACAGGATCTGAAGTTGAGGAATCCAAGACGTTCAGCCGGAGTGGTCTGAAAGGTAACGGCCAGAAGGAAGGGAAGGTCTTGATCAACCATTGCCTCGTTGCTCCTCTGTTCCAAAATGCTGTCTAGCAGGTGACTAGGGAGCGCATCGACGCTGGGTATGATGTGAAGGTTCTTGGATATGAAGCACGTGCACAGGTGGATCAGGGAAGGACATGATTGGCATCCCGCTCCTCGCTGCCTACCTTGTTCCAGCATGGACTCGATTAAAAAACACTAAAAAATGAACAGAACCTTTTAACTTTTACAGGTTTCTTGAGTAACCGTTTAACCGTTTTCTTGAGTTTAAAAAACGCTTTTAGGGACCCTGTGAAGAGAAGTAGTTTCGATGGGGTTTCTGATTACACACACCTACCACCACCTGTATTTGGGACAAAATTTGGATTTTTTTAAGATGTTGCAACAATGTTTTTAAAGTACCCACCCTCATCTCCTCCACGATAGCACGGGTGGGGGGGACTCTCCCTTCCCCTCCTCCTCCCTCCCCAAGGTCCGCGTCTGCGTCTCAGTCCTCGAGGCTTTCTTCCACCTCCCCCAGGAGGCTGCTGCAAGGCGCCTGGTAAGTCTTGAAGCTCTTGTCATTACTCTGCCTTCTTCACTCCTCCCCCCCTGCCGCTCCTCTCAGTCTGTGCGCGATGGCAAGAGCCTGCTGCTGACCCAGCGCCTGTGCCGCAGGGCGTGTCGCTGACCAGCCTCAAGGCGGCCTGCCGCAAGATCGGCATTAAGCGCTGGCCCTACCGCCGCTGGCCGGCAGCTGACCTCGAGCATGACGCACACGCCCCTTCATCGCGTGAGACTGCAGCGTCATCCAGCGGCCCTCAGGGCATGGCGGCAGCAGTGCCATCGCCTCCCGTACCGGACGAGGAGGCTGCCAGCTCCTCCCTTGCGCTCGCTGAGGGTGAGCGGCGGAGCTCACCGGCATCGGAAGCGCCGGCCGTGACATGTGGGGAGAGAAGAGACGGATGGTTGGCTGACGTGGATGAGCTGGGAGGGTACGGCGAGTGGATGTCATGGTGGATAGACTGCGACGACGATGCCGTCTGAAAGCACCTGAGGCTCATGAATACGTACAATCATGAGACCTTGCCGTCTGAAAGAATTTTTGGTGAGATGGCAACAAATTATCCTGCAGCAGCAATGGTTTTGATGTTTGGTGTTATTTTTTGAGTAGCAATGTTGCGATGTAGGAAAGATATTTGATATACACTAGAAGACATGCTAAACGTGTCATTTTTGCTTAATAAGATGCTCAACAAGAATATCGAGGGTTTGAACTGTACCCCGCGACCTCCGATGATTGACTGAGTAGCTGTTTTGCGACAGAGTGCTGCGGTTGTATTGACGGTGGCAAGTTGTACTGAACAAGCTGTTTGGTCGCGCCACTAGTACCCTCTGATACGGTACAGTGTTGCATTACCACAGTCACGAAGAACAAAGCTACTGATTCTAAAGTTCCGGCGACGCCGACTGATTGAAACTTGAATCATGACTGGCAAGTATGTGTATGCCACTGGCATCCTGGCACGTGTTTGCATCTAAGCACATGTTTGCATCTAAGCATCAATTAGACTCGCAATTCTCGGCGGATACTTCTGCAGAGCCTATGACGACTCGGATGAAGCCAAACAACGCTATCAGCGCACGTCAGTTCCATACTCATTGTCAAAATACAATCGCTTCAAATCCTCCTGTCCGACCTTGTTTGCCATGCCTAGACGTTCTTGTCATCCAGCTCGCACTGCTCGTACCACGCCGACCAGACGTCCTCCTCCTCCCCGGGCTGCTCCAGGCTCTTTCAGCCATCCATCGCCATCGCTATGGTGTGCTTCCTGGAGGCGGCAGGGCAAGGGAAGAGGCTGCGAGGGGAAGCTGTTTAGGTCTTGACGGACTGCGAGCTGATGCAAGTCTGGCTCGTTGTCGTCTACAATCGGAGGAGCAGGCACAGCCTCGTGTTCGTGACTGGAAGGGAAATGCAGGTCTGTGCCGTTGGGATGTTGCCAGCGGCGGTAGGGCCAGCGCTTGATGCCGATCTTGCGGCAGGCTGCCTTGAGGCTGGTCAGCGACACGCCCTGCGGCACAGGCGCTGGGTTAGCAGCAGGCTCTTGCCATCGCGCACAGACTTAGAGGAGCGGCAGGGTGGGAGGAGTGAAGAAGGCAGAGTAATGACAAGAGCTTCAAGACTTACCAGGCGCCTTGCGGCAGCCTCCTGGGGGAGGTGGAAGAAAGCCTCGAGGACGGAGACGCAGACGCGGACCTTGGGGAGGGAGGAGGAGGGGAAGGGAGAGTCGCGGGGGCGCGGGGAGACGAGGACAGCAGAGGGGATCGCCATGGACGGGGATAGGCGAGCAACCCCATCGAAAAGATCTATTTTCGTATCTACGCACGGCGCTCTCGTTAGCTCCTGGCTAGCATTGACTATCAACTCACGGCTTTCCACAGGGAATAGCAACTCTGACTGTTTCATTTCACACAAACGCAACGTTAGGGTGGTGCGTTTGTCTAGCACCTTGCGGAAGAGAGCTCCTTTCGTTCCCCGTCATGGCTCGAGGATCCAGCCCCCTCGACTGTCAGCTCAATTTTACCCCGCAACTCTCACCGGCCGCTCACCCCTCCCTCCCTCCCTCCCCATGCTCCCATCCCCCTGCCTCCCGCCTACCATCTCAAGCCCCGACTCTCCTGACCAGCAGGTCGAGTCCTTTCTCTCCTCCTTCCGCGCCATGTACGGCTCCTGCCCCTCCGTCTGCCCGGTCTCCGACGCCTCCAACCTGGTCACCGACTTCACTGCCCTAGAGCGACCAGCGGGCATGGTGCTGGACTGGAAGAAGGACGAGCGGCTGCGAGGTCTTGAGACCCGAGCGTGAGGGAGACAGGCGAGTAGGACTAGCAGTCTTGATGTGTAAAGTAACCCTGTGTGTGTAATATAAGCCTTTGTACGACCACCTGCCTCCTGTGTGAGCCTGTCCTAGACGTGGCTTGAGAGTATTGAGGTGAATCAGCCTGTGATCAGGCAGCTCGGGGGATGAAGCGAGCTGACTGCTGCTGATCTGTCTGCCTTGGTATCAGTATCGATGCGGCATGCTCTCAGTGCGACGCCATGCTCTGGGTGTCTCGTGCGTGACAGGGCAGGGATAGGGTTGAGGCAGCCGCCAGACCTTGACAACCCGCCTGAGACCTGCTTGATCGGTTGCGTTGATCCATGACGTCATTCCTCCAGGCGTCACGATCTGCCGGTATCACGATCGGACCGCAAACGACATTCTCACAAGATCGCAGAGCGAGGCAAGCAGACAAACTCCACCGGCATCTCTACGATACCTCCAGCGGCATAGCCTGCTGTGACGCATCTGTACTGATAGAGGTACAAGTCAGATCTTTGTCACGTCACATGTTTGAGCTTGTTCTTTTAATGCAATGTAACATTGAAATATTAAATAGGGCAGTGTAATGTCGTTGAGGCAATGCACCATAGTGATGATGCTGTTGAGTACATGCGCGAATGTATCGTCCGATCGTTTGCTACCTTCACACCATGATCCGTACCTCCAACCTTCGAAAACCAGTTTCTTGTCGTGCGTCTTCATGAGCCTCAGGTGCTTTCAGACGGCAAGGTCTGATGATTGTACGTCTTCATGAGCCTCAGGTGCTTTCAGACGGCAAGGTCTGATGATTGTACGTCTTCATGAGCCTCAGGTGCTTTCAGACGGCAAGGTCTGATGATTGTACGTCTTCATGAGCCTCAGGTGCTTTCAGACGGCATCGTCGTCGCAGTCTATGCACCACGACATCCACTCGCCGTACCCTCCCAGCTCATCCATGTCAGCCAACCATCCGTCACTTCTCTCCCCACATGTCACGGCCGGCGCTTCCGATGCCGGTGAGCTCCGCCGCTCACCCTCAGCGAGCGCAAGGGAGGAGCTGGCAGCATCCTCGTCCGGTACGGGAGGCGATGGCACTGCTGCCGCCATGCCCTGAGGGCCGCTGCATGACGCTGCAGTCTCACGCGATGAAGGAGCGTGTGCGTCATGCTCGAGGTCAGCTGCCGGCCAGCGGCGGTAGGGCCAGCGCTTGATGCCGATCTTGCGGCAGGCTGCCTTGAGGCTGGTCAGCGACACGACCTGCGACACAGGCGCTGGGTTAGCAGCAGGCTCTTGCCATCGCGCACAGACTGAGAGGAGCGGCAGGGGGGGAAGGATGAAGAAGGCAGAGTAATGACAAGAGCATCAAGACTTACCAGGCGCCTTGCGGCAGCCTCCTGGGGGAGGTGGAAGAAAGCCTCGAGGACGGAGACGCAGATGCGGACCTTGGGGAGGGAGGAGGAGGGGAAGGGAGAGTCGCGGGGGCGCGGGGAGACGAGGACAGCAGAGGGGGTCGCCATGGACGGGGTTAGGGGGCTCGAGCAACCCCATCGAAAAGATCTATTTTCGTATCTACGCACGGCGCTCTCGTTAGCTCCTGTCTAGCATTGACTATCAACTCACGGCTTTCCACAGGGAATAGCAACTCTGACTGTTTCATTTCACACAAACGCAACGTTAGGTGGTGCGTTTGTCTAGCACCTTGCGGAAGAGAGCTCCTTTCGTTCCCCGTCATGGCTCGAGGATCCAGCCCCCGCGACTGTCAGCTCAATTTTACCCCGCAACTCTCACCGGCCGCTCACCCCTCCCTCCCTCCCTCCCCATGCTCCCATCCCCCTGCCTCCCGCCTACCATCTCAAGCCCCTACTCTCCTGACCAGCAGGTCGAGTCCTTTCTCTCCTCCTTCCGCGCCATGTACGGCTCCTGCCCCTCCGTCTGCCCGGTCTCCGACGCCTCCAACCTGGTCACCGACTTCACTGCCCTATATCGACCAGCGGGCACAATGCTGGACTGGAAGAAGGACGAGCGGCTGCGAGGTCTTGAGACCCGAGCGTGAGGGAGACAGGCGGGTAGGACTAGCAGTCTTGATGTGTATAGTAACCCCGTGTGTAATATAAGCCTTTGTACGACCACCTGCCTCCTGTGAGAGCCTGTCCTAGACATGGCTTGAGAGTATTGAGGTGAATCAGCCTGTGATCAGGCAGCTCGGGGGATGAAGCGAGCTGACTGCTGCTGATCTGTCTGCCTTGGTATCAGTATCGATGCGGCATGCTCTCAGTGCGACGCCATGCTCTGAGGTCCCGTGCATGACAGGGCAGGGATAGGGTTGAGGCAGCCGCCAGACCTTGACGACCCGCCTGAGACCTGCTCGATAACTGCTGGCGATGGAGCTTCGAGCGATCGGTTGCGTTGATCCATGACGTCATTCCTCCAGGCGTCACGATCTGCCGGTATCACGATCGGACCGCAAACGACATTCTCACAAGATCGCAGAGCGAGGCAAGCAGACAAACTCCACCGGCATCTCTACGATACCTCCAGCGGCATAGCCTGCTGTGACGCATCTGTACTGATAGAGGTACAAGTCAGATCTTTGTCACGTCACATGTTTGAGCTTGTTCTTTTAATGCAATGTAACATTGAAATATTAAATAGGGCAGTGTAATGTCGTTGAGGCAATGCACCATAGTGATGATGCTGTTGAGTACATGCGCGAATGTATCGTCCGATCGTTTGCTACCTTCACACCATGATCCGTACCTCCAACCTTCGAAAACCAGTTTCTTGTCGTGCGTCTTCATGAGCCTCAGGTGCTTTCAGACGGCAAGGTCTGATGATTGTACGTCTTCATGAGCCTCAGGTGCTTTCAGACGGCAAGGTCTGATGATTGTACGTCTTCATGAGCCTCAGGTGCTTTCAGACGGCAAGGTCTGATGATTGTACGTCTTCATGAGCCTCAGGTGCTTTCAGACGGCAAGGTCTGATGATTGTACGTCTTCATGAGCCTCAGGTGCTTTCAGACGGCATCGTCGTCGCAGTCTATGCACCACGACATCCACTCGCCGTACCCTCCCAGCTCGTCCATGTCAGCCAACCATCCGTCACTTCTCTCCCCACATGTCACGGCCGGCGCTTCCGATGCCGGTGAGCTCCGCCGCTCACCCTCAGCGAGCGCAAGGGAGGAGCTGGCAGCATCCTCGTCCGGTACGGGAGGCGATGGCACTGCTGCCGCCATGCCCTGAGGGCCGCTGGATGACGCTGCAGCCTCACGCGATGAAGGGGTGTGTGCGTCATGCTCGAGGTCAGCTGCCGGCCAGCGGCGGTAGGGCCAGCGCTTGATGCCGATCTTGCGGCAGGCTGCCTTGAGGCTGGTCAGCGACACGACCTGCGACACAGGCGCTGGGTTAGCAGCAGGCTCTTGCCATCGCGCACAGACTGAGAGGAGCGGCAGGGGGGGAAGGATGAAGAAGGCAGAGTAATGACAAGAGCATCAAGACTTACCAGGCGCCTTGCGGCAGCCTCCTGGGGGAGGTGGAAGAAAGCCTCGAGGACGGAGACGCAGATGCGGACCTTGGGGAGGGAGGAGGAGGGGAAGGGAGAGTCGCGGGGGCGCGGGGAGACGAGGACAGCAGAGGGGGTCGCCATGGACGGGGTTAGGGGGCTCGAGCAACCCCATCGAAAAGATCTATTTTCGTATCTACGCACGGCGCTCTCGTTAGCTCCTGTCTAGCATTGACTATCAACTCACGGCTTTCCACAGGGAATAGCAACTCTGACTGTTTCATTTCACACAAACGCAACGTTAGGTGGTGCGTTTGTCTAGCACCTTGCGGAAGAGAGCTCCTTTCGTTCCCCGTCATGGCTCGAGGATCCAGCCCCCGCGACTGTCAGCTCAATTTTACCCCGCAACTCTCACCGGCCGCTCACCCCTCCCTCCCTCCCTCCCCATGCTCCCATCCCCCTGCCTCCCGCCTACCATCTCAAGCCCCTACTCTCCTGACCAGCAGGTCGAGTCCTTTCTCTCCTCCTTCCGCGCCATGTACGGCTCCTGCCCCTCCGTCTGCCCGGTCTCCGACGCCTCCAACCTGGTCACCGACTTCACTGCCCTATATCGACCAGCGGGCACAATGCTGGACTGGAAGAAGGACGAGCGGCTGCGAGGTCTTGAGACCCGAGCGTGAGGGAGACAGGCGGGTAGGACTAGCAGTCTTGATGTACTGCGTTCCCTGCAGGGCGACGCCGTTCCAGGACTGGGAGCTGAACGATCTGTCCTACCACTGGACAATGCCCTGCACCCGTGTCCTGAATGCCCGGCCGATACCCTGTGGGGTGCTCCAGAGGGGGAGGTACACGGGATACGCGACGGAGATGGGGGTGGACTGCCCGGCCGTCTGCGATTCGGGGTTCACGCTGGAGTTTGTCACGGAGCAGATCGAGGTAGAGTACTGGGAGCCCGGGACGCAGCCGGGATCGGTCACTAAGGGTTTCTTCCAGTTTAACCGCTCCCACTGCAGGCCCTGTGTGGATTCCGGGGTGCAGATCGTGAATGGATCCTTCAATGATGGTGTGTTCTCCCAGGATTGCGTCTTCACCTGCAATACCGGCTTCGTCCCTGTGTTCAGCTCGGATTACCTCTGCCCGACGGGGGTGGTGCATGTCCCCCCGTACCAATGCCACTTCTGCCCGCTGATCCAGTGCCAGGCCGGCGAGTTCCAGGTGGATTGCCCTCCCGACGCCTACTGTGTCCCCTGCCCCGCCATCCCAAACGGTTCCCACATGGAGTACTACCTCCCCGGCGGATACCAAGACCCTGCATCGTGCCCAAAGCGATGCATGCCCCAGTATTGGAGGCCCGACGCCGCCTCGAACTGCACCGCCTGCACCACGGAGGTTGCGCTGGCCTGCAACTACACCGTAGAGTTCATGAGGCCATGCGAAGAGTTCAGGGATGCGGCGTGCGTGGCCTGCAGCGATAGTTGCGATCCTGGCTTCTACCTGTCCGCCAATTGCAGCCGGTACAGCAATATCGCTTGCGAGCCGTGCGCATCCGCCGTGCCGCTGAATTCGAGGTATATACGGGGGTGCACCTATGAATGCCTCCCAGATTATGTCCCACATAACGCTTCTTATTGCGGGTATTGCGATCCGTATCGCCTGTGTGGCGTGGGTTACTATGTGGATGATTGCAATCTGGCGAACGCGTTCACCGGCTGCTCTCCGTGCAAGAATGGACTCGCTGTAAACACCACCGTGGTGTACCTCACGGCGGGCGACGCCTACAGCCCCTACTCGTGCTCCTGGAAATGCCCGGATGGCATGGTGCTGGGGAGGAACGCGAGCGGGGCGGTGGATTGTGTGATCCTCCCGCCTGCAGTGGCGGCCACGAAGGAGCAGCTCTCGACCCCTCCCCCCTATTGCTCCCCCGGGACCTACAGGGCCTCGACGCTGGAGTGCCTGCCCTGCCAGGTGAACATTCCCAACGAGTTTGCGATCTTCACGGATGCCTGCCGCTGGGTGTGTGTGGGAGGGAGGATCGCCGTGCTGGACCCTGTTCAGGGGAGGCTGACCTGCATGGCCTATGAGGATTACATCTCGATCATGCAGAACACGAGGAGGGTGTTGATCCAGAACCCACTCAACGATACCTACCAGGATCACACCTTAGGGAATGGGGAGAGGGACCTGCTGTACGTGTCGCTGGCCTTTGTCACCGTGGTGGTAGTCGTAGGAACCCTGAATTATTTCTGTGGCGCCTTGAGATAAACCCCTTTAAAACGCCCAGGATCCGTGGGTGGGGTCACCGAGCTTTGCACCCCGTGGTATCCCACGCGTCGGGTGGTCCGTAACGGGTGGTCCGCAATCCGTAAAATTATCGCAGCTCCGGAAGCCTTCGATTATCCGCAAACCTCCGTATGTCTTACTGGAGTGACGAAGAGGATAACAACCGTGAGGACACACAGTCCCCACCCCCGGTACCCACCGCCTCCGGGAGCTCCTCCCTCGCGGTGGCCCCTCGCCCCTTACAGCGCGCGATGGCGAGGGTGAGGTCCCCTCAGCGCTTTGCCTCCGGATATGACTCCGACACCGCGATAGAGGATAGCGGCGAGGAGGAGGATGAGCAGGAGATCAAGAGCTCCTACAACCTGAGGGAGGGAGTCGACGGCAGGATGTACTATGGCAAGGCCAGTGATGAGATGCCGGGCTACGACGAGAGCATGGATCCCGAGTTCGATCCCGTCGCATTCGCCGAGCAGGAGATGAAGTCCAAGGACATCGAAGACGGCTATGATTCCATGGGCAGTGACGACCTGGACATGCTGGATGTTGAGATACGGGAGGATGAACTCGACATCGTCCGTGACGTGAAGAAGGGAGATCTCGTCAGCTTCTGCAAGGGCTTCACCCCCGCCACCGTCTTCGAGGGCGTCATAAGGCTGAAGTGCGTGGAGGAGAGCGAGAAGGCGGGCTTTGGCGTCTGTGTCTGTGGTTCTGTCCCGACTTACTACTGCTGTGTCTGCAACATGATCACGACCTGCAAGTGCTGTAGTCACAAGGGTGGCTGCTCGATGTGTGGCAGCGATGACTCAGAGCTTGTCAGTGTGAGGCTGGACAATCCCGAGACGATCGGCAGTTTCATACATGACATCGACAGCACGGAGGTGAGGTGCAAGGCCAGGACTCTCAATGACCGGCTGGATGACTGCATGATGATCTTTGACAGTGTCAGGGACCGTGTTAGCTTCTTGGTCTATCTTTACGAGACCGTGTTTGACGGCATCCTCACGCCCTCCCGGAATATCTGCACGATATGCTTCGATCGATCGGCCCGTGTCATCTATCATCCCTGTGGCCATCTCGCTGCGTGCTCGACTTGCCATCTGCGTATGGGCTCCAATCATCCATGCCATATGTGCCGGACCATGGTGACACGGTCCTACGTGTACATGAATGTCCATCTCCGTGGGGTTGTGGAGCGCAGCAGCATGAGATGTGATTTTGACAAGTATATCGCTATTGAGAGAATGCTGGATTACAACACGCCGGATGCGCTCAAGCGGTATATCATTGCCCATGCGAAGAAGACGATGCATGAGCCGATCGAGATCTCGGACTGATCCATTTCGTTTGAATTGTGTGTGTGTGCGAAAATAAATGCACTCGTTGCGAGCCCGGTTGGCATACGCCCTCCATCCCCCATGCACTCCCACGCCTGCTTTTGCTGTCGGTGGTTCGATACGGATGTCCCATGTCCGTATCAGATGCGGCGACCCTTGACAATGGACGAGATGCTGAGGGCCGGCTTCGACGTCACGGCCGAGGCATTCCATGCCTGCAACCTGGAGAGGGTCCGTGGTTTGATCTCCCAGGGCCTCATCCCGGGGGTGACATCCTGGTGTTCCCGATGCAAGAGGATCACCCCTCTGGTCCCGATGGATTGCGAGGATGCCGGTGTGGCCATGGTGGATATCATACGGAGGCACGAGTCCATGGACTCGTGGCTGCATTAAAGACACCGTGGGCGGGTGGGTTCAGAAGCCTTTGTACGACCACCTGCCTCCTGTGAGAGCCTGTCCTAGACATGGCTTGAGAGTATTGAGGTGAATCAGCCTGTGATCAGGCAGCTCGGGGGATGAAGCGAGCTGACTGCTGCTGATCTGTCTGCCTTGGTATCAGTATCGATGCGGCATGCTCTCAGTGCGATGCCATGCTCTGAGGTCTCGTGCATGACAGGGCAGGGATAGGGTTGAGGCAGCCGCCAGACCTTGACGACCCGCCTGAGACCTGCTCGATAACTGCTGGCGATGGAGCTTCGAGCGATCGGTTGCGTTGATCCATGACGTCATTCCTCCAGGCGTCACGATCTGCCGGTATCACGATCGGACCGCAAACGACATTCTCACAAGATCGCAGAGCGAGGCAAGCAGACAAACTCCACCGGCATCTCTACGATACCTCCAGCGGCATAGCCTGCTGTGACGCATCTGTACTGATAGAGGTACAAGTCAGATCTTTGTCACGTCACATGTTTGAGCTTGTTCTTTTAATGCAATGTAACATTGAAATATTAAATAGGGCAGTGTTATGTCGTTGAGGCAATGCACCATAGTGATGATGCTGTTGAGTACATGCGCGAATGTATCGTCCGATCGTTTGCTACCTTCACACCATGATCCGTACCTCCAACCTTCGAGAGCCATGACTTCTGTGAAGTAGCTTGTCGTTGCCATCCAAGGCACAAAACTTGCAGGTCGCCCAAGAGGCTTGGCTGTGCGTCTTCATGAGCCTCAGGTGCTTTCAGACGGCATCGTCGTCGCAGTCTATGCACCATGACATCCACTCGCCGTACCCTCCCAGCTCGTCCACGTCAGCCAACCATCCGTCACTTCTCTCCCCACATGTCACGGCCGGCGCTTCCGATGCCGGTGAGCTCCGCCGCTCACCCTCAGCGAGCGCAAGGGAGGAGCTGGCAGCATCCTCGTCCGGTACGGGAGGCGATGGCACTGCTGCCGCCATGCCCTGAGGGCCGCTGGATGACGCTGCAGCCTCACGCGATGAAGGGGTGTGTGCGTCATGCTCGAGGTCAGCTGCCGGCCAGCGGCGGTAGGGCCAGCGCTTGATGCCGATCTTGCGGCAGGCTGCCTTGAGGCTGGTCAGCGACACGACCTGCGGCACAGGCGCTGGGTTAGCAGCAGGCTCTTGCCATCGCGCACAGACTGAGAGGAGCGGCAGGGGGGGAGGAGTGAAGAAGGCAGAGTAATGACAAGAGCTTCAAGACTTACCAGGCGCCTTGCGGCAGCCTCCTGGGGGAGGTGGAAGAAAGCCTCGAGGACGGAGACGCAGATGCGGACCTTGGGGAGGGAGGAGGAGGGGAAGGGAGAGTCGCGGGGGCGCGGGGAGACGAGGACAGCAGAGGGGATCGCCATGGCCGCGGCGAGAAGGGATGAGGGCAGGCGCCCCTCGAAAGAAGAAGTGTTCCATGGGGATTCTGCTAGAACGTCTCCCCCTCACCCCTGCTATCGTAGGATATTCATTGGGAGAGATGAAGGGTGGGTACTTTAAAAACATTGTTGCAACATCTTTGTACCCCGCGAAACTACTCTTCTTCGATGCAGATCACACAAAAACTCACCCCTGACACCCGTCCCTGCTACCCAATTTAGTCGCAAACAAAGGTGGTGGTAGGGCTGTGTAATCAACAACCCCATCGAAACCACTTCTCTTCACAGGGCACCTTAAACGGGTTACTAGCCGTGCAGTGCGAGGTGGCCACTGGCCCATGCGCGGCCCCCATGATGATCTGGCAGAGCCTCCTGGCATCTGATGCGGCCCATGCCAGCCGTGCCAGTCAAATACCGTACTAGATCATGGCCCAGTGACAGGCCCGTAACTGGTACTATGTACGGTAACATAGTAGCCGCTGAGGCTGCCCCGCGGCCGGCCGAGTCACTGACTCCCGAGTTTGACTCCGAGCCTCCGGCTCACTGTCAGCTCACAGAGTCAGTCCGCGGACCGGGAGCCTCCGAGCCGCCGGGCCCGACTCGGTGACGGTGCCCGAGTCCCGAGTCAGTCACTCCCTCAGACGCCGGGCCTGAGTCTTGGCTGGCGGCGGCCGGCGGCGCCCCCCCGGGCCCGTAAGTTGTCAATGATCGGCCTGTGTGTGATCCCGTCCGAGGCTCAGGGCGGGCCGCTACATCACTGCATCATCATGATGTGGGTTGCGGCCGGGGCCGCTGCACGCCGGCGGGTCCGACACGGTCGCCGTAGTACTGAGTAGTAATTGAAATGATGTGTCCGACGGTACAGCCGGGCGGCCGGGTCACCGGGTCGGCGGGGCGGCCGCCCGCAGTGTACGGTCCGTCGGCACTGGTCCGGCGGCCCGATGAGAGCCTGGCAGGGTGGCACTGGTAGTACCGTGACTCCGGGTGACGGTCACCGGGCCCGGGCCCGGTGTCGGCACTCAGCCTGGCAGTGGAGTCGGCACTCAGTGACTGATGTCGGCACAGCAGAGCTGTGTCGGTCAGACCCCAGACTGGGCCCGGGGCTGCCGCCTCGGCCGGCCCGGGCCAGGGCCCGGGCCGGCCGTACGAGACCGTGACTACTAGTTTACTATATGTTCAACGTTTTTGTCCAATCGGCACCTTGTAGTCTGCGAGGGGAGGAGGGTATAAATTTGTTTTTTCAAGTTCGGTTGGCCATGGCGGGGATCGAGGTAAGACGAAGTTGAAAGGAGGAGGAGGAGGAGGAGGAGAAGGAGGAGGAGAAGGAGATAGAGAAGGAGAAGGAGGAGGAGGAGGAGATAGAGAAGGAGATAGAGAAGGAGAAGGAGATAGAGAAGGAGAAGGAGATGGAGAAGTTGGAGGAGGAGGAGATAGAGAAGGAGGAGGAGAAGGAGAAGGAGAAGGAGAAGGAGAAGGAGGAGAAAGAGGAGGATAATCAACAGATAGTCTCTCACCTGCATGTTAAGAATGAAAAAATTGAATATGCCATGCCTGTGGAGGGTTGATTTCTTCAGTGCCGTGTGTCGATGATATTATCTGAGTGAACTTGCCCTTTAACTGCAAAAAGACTCGCGCCCGTTCTGTTCCTGATCGTTTCACAGCCCACTATGGAGCTAGAGCATGCCATCGGGTTCTCCGGAGATCTCAGGAAATGCCTGATGTTTCATCCGAATGGCAGAGACATGGTGTATGCAGCGGGAGGGTGCTTGATCGTTGCAGACTTGCTGGACCCTCACAACCAAGTGTTTCTGCGGGGTCATGACGATTTCATAACGACTGTCGACGTCTCCCCGAGCGGCAGGTACATCGCATCGGGACAGAGGGGAGAGAACGCAGACGTGATCGTGTGGGACTTCGAGGAGAAGAGGCTGCTCTACAGGATGCAGTCTCATGACGCGGGGGTGGCCGTGGTGGCGTTCTCCCATGACGAGAAGCTGCTGCTCAGTGTCGGGGTGACACCGGGGGACAATCGGTAATTACATCGGACGAATCGCTCGTGTTGTTTGATGCAGACAATCATCGCAAGTGTTGAGATTTATGTTGTTGTCGGAGCATCAGGTTACCGAAGGGACTGATTTACACTGTTCGAAGGTTGTTTGTGTGGGACATGGCAAGCGGTCTGATGAACGCGCAATCTAATGCTGTCCAATCAGTCGATTCGCAGGTCAGTCATGCTCTCCTACTTTCTTTTCTGCAGCATCGCATCAGATGTTCACACGCCTCATATCACTCGATGATGTTGCATCGATCAAATCCAATGCAAGCAGTATCATCTTTGACATTATCACACCATGATGACTTGCTGGAGCAATGATGAAGTGACATGTTTGGTCAGAACACCATGTGTGCAGTCTGGGGAGGTTTTTTCAAGGACATTAAAAGAAGAGACACTTCCAACTACATGTTTGCAACAGCAGGCAAGAAGAGGTATACAATCTTGTTCGGAAGTGAACATGTCAAGAGGTCACAACATGTTCACAACTCATGCAGCATTCGAATATGGTGTCTGGACCCTGTCAACGGGGCTTGGCCTGTCATGGGCGAGAATGTGAATTGATCTTTATTCTCTTGTACCGAGTTGAGTGATGAATTTGTCAACATTGCAGTTCACTGCGCACAGTCATATTCGGGATTACACATGTTTAGCATTCTCGCATGATAGAAATCATCTTTTTGCAGGAAGCACAACAGGTGAGATGTATAGACAACTGCTTGTTGGAGGGCGATTGTTTGTTGACAAATTCCCATCTGAAGGAGACGTTTCCTGCTTTCAAATCAAGTCAAAATCCCTTGCGTCTTCCAAGCTTTGTACACAGGAATGTCTTGCATAACAACCGCGGATCAAACAGAAAGATGACAGGCTTCTTATCACAGGGAGGAATCGAGTCATTGATGATTCTCCCTTCCAACGACAAGGTGAGTTGATGTGAAAGAATCCATCAGACCGCAAACCTCCCCAGCTCTTCCGCATCATCTCCAACGACTTGCTGACGCGGCAAGCAGGAGTCGAGCTCTCTGCTGATTGGAGGAGGGGATGGAACGTTGACCCGCATTGTCTGCCTGCGACTCTCTGGATGGAAGCCTCGTTGACCATCATCTCAGGTGGCGAGGAACCACAGCGAGTTACACGATGTCATGAATGGGAGGATAACCCTCAAGGTAGAACCTTTCCTCTCCTCCCTTCCTACCTCTTACCCTGACAGTTCTCCTTTCTCTCCTCTCTTCCTGCCTAGCTCCCTTACCTCTACTGTTCTTCATCCTATCCTCTTTTCCAACATGGATCTCTTACCCCGACTACCCTTCTTCCTCCTTCCTTGCTCTCTTGCCCTGATACTGTTCGTTACAGGGCAAGGTTACCTCATTGTGTATCTCGTCCGACCTGTCAGAGACGATCGTTGGGAGTGCGGAGGTGTCCATCTTTCCTCTCCTGCAGCTCTGCTCTATTCCTCCCCTCCTCTCCCTTTGGGCATATCTGCCGTAGCCTCCCCTCCTCCCTCATCTTGTCTCGAAACAGCCTCGTGCCCCTCTCATACTCTTCTTCTCCTTGCCAGAATCCTTGCTTTCCCCTTCTCTTCCTCCTCCTTCTCCTTCTCCTCCTTCTCCTCCCCGCACTCATTTGTCCTCCAAGATTTGATTCGAGCAAGTCAAAGATCTCGTGAACGTGACTGGTTGTACAGGGCCTGATGTATAGGATGCGAAATTCTGATATGAAAACCGTGAAAATATCCGGTGAACTTTGAAATCTTGTGGTCTGCGTTGATTCCAGACTGGAATTGATCTCTCCCCTTGGTCCTGTGCGGATAGAATCTCATCGAGGGGCTATTACCGCTGTCACGTTTCCAAGAGATTCTTCCGATCGATTTGCAACGTAAATAATGATGAGACCGGGGGAAGGAGAAGGAGAAATTTTCGATGATGATAGTAATGACGATGACGACGACGACGATGAAAATGAGGATGAGGATGAGGATGAGGATGAGGATGAGGATGATGAATGAGATGACGTGTTAGAGGAAGGAGATGCTGATGCCACTAGACAACATATGTTTAGTTTGAGATGCAAGTCGAGATGATCACGACGACGATGATGATGATGATTGTGATCAAAACATCGAAGATTTCTCGGGCCTAAGTTGGGCCATGATGGCGGACTGACACCTTTTCAGATGCTCGGTAGACGGATCAATGGTTGTGTGGGACTTAACGGATTATCACATCTTGTGTTCGGGAAAATGCAGGTTGATGAATTATCTTTGTGTGACTTGCTGAGCATTGTGCCTTGTTCCTCTCCTCTCCTCTCCTCTCCTCTCCTCTCCTCTCCTCCTTCTCCCCTCCCCTCCCCACCTCCCCTCCCCTCCCCTCCCCTCCTCCTCTCCTCTCCTCCCCTCCCCTCCCTCCCCTGTCCACTTTACTCGCTTTTAGTCTTTTCTCTCTCCTCTCCTTCCGTTTCTTCCCCTTCCCTACTCTCTTTGACCTTCTATCACCTGAACTGACCTCTTTCAGGGATGGAGGAATCCCAACTTGTATTTCGTATGCCTTCGATTGTATCATCTCTGGTTGGACGGATGGAAAGGTGAAAACATTGGAAGTGATCGGAGAGGACGAGGACGACCGGGACGAGGACAAGAACAAGGAGCAGGAGCAGGAGCAGGAGCAGGAAGAAGAGGAGGGAGTGGAAGAGGAGGAGGAGAGTTTAAGAAGGAGAGAAGGAGGATTGAGGTGAAAGTTGAGCGAGCTGAGAAATGGTTGGCAGGTTCGATGTTTCGACGGGGAGACGGGGGAGATGCTGTGGGACATCAGCGACGTGCATAAGGGAGGCGTTACAGCGCTGCAGGTGGTCTCACGTGCTGTTGAAGAGCATCGGGGTTGACATGGTTGCGTTCAAGGTCTCATACAATCAAAGATTCATGATTACAGGCGGAGAGAACGGTGATGGATGAAACTGACTTGCTTCTCCTGTGTCCCCATTGTGGGGTTGTACCTGTTGTAACTCAATCCCGACCTCCTCTCCGCTCCTTCCTCTGCGCTTGTCCTCCTCCTCCTCCTCCTCCTCCTCCTCCTCCTCCTTCCCCTCCTTCTCCTCCTCCCCCTGCTTCTCCTCCTCTCCTCCTCCTCTCCTCCTCCTCTCCTCCTCCTCTGCTCCGCTGGATCTGCGATAATTGGGGATGGAGTGCAGGGGACATCAGAGTCTGGGACATCAAGTCGAGAGAGATGGTCTCCCATCTCAAGGTCCAGTGACAACTTTCATGTCATTCTGTGAAATTCCGTTGTGTCTGGCTGATTTCTTCTTGATAAGCAAACTCACAACGTTGTGCAGCACAACTTTGATTGAATGTTGATTTCATCAATTCACGATGATGATAAAAATGACGGAGATGATGATGATGATGATGATGATGATGTGTTGCTGTTGTTCTGAATGATGAAGAAGATGATGATGATGCATGCCATCTCAAAACAGCCCTACGTGTTCACCCGTCTGTCTTTGAACTTCTCACGCCACTATGTACTCTTGAACGATGTTCTCCCTCACATCTTTGTATGCAGGAGCACACATCAGCCATAACTTCCATCTCCATCTTCGAGGACGACGCGCATGCTCTGACAGGTACATGGATGCTTCATGGTATCGTGATCGTGCATGACCGAACGGCGGGCAGGGAGCAAGGACAGGAACATCCTGTGCTGGTGAGCTCTCGTGCAGGGGAGGAGTGAGGAGGGGTTAAGAGCGTTGAAGGGACCTCCGGCATGAAAAGCGAGTCGCTTCCCTTCGGCAAAGGATGGGAGGCATCAATTCCTTTGCTCTCCTCCCCGACCAGGTCCTCCTCCTCTTGCCTCCACCCCCCCTCCCTCCCCTTTCGTTCCATTTCTTCCCCACCCTCATCCCTCCCCCTTCCCTCAGCAGCCTATGCTCTATCTCCACCTCCTCCTCCTCCTCCTCCTCCTCCTCCTCCTCCTCCTCCTCCCCTTCCCCTCCTCTCCCTTTTGTTTACGCCTCGCAGCCCCTTCTCTTCCCCTGCTCCTGCTCCTGCTCCTGCTCCTTTGCTGCCCCTCCTTCAGCCTCTTTCTCTCTTGCTCCCCGTCCTCCTTCATCCTCTTTTTCTCATCCACCATCTTCATGGCCTTCCCTGCCCTCTCCATCCCCTCGTCTGACAAGCTTCTTCTCAGCTCCAAGTAGTCTCAGTGGGTCAAGAAAGAAAACTTTCCTTCTGGGACCTCCGTGAGCCGGATCCGGTACGGGCCCACCCTCACTCCTGCTCTCCTGCCTTCCTCATTTCCCCTCCCTCCACTCCCCTCCCCCCCCCCCTCGCCTCCTCCTCCTTCCATTCCTTCTTCCACTCCTCCTCCTGTTCCTTTTCCTCCTTCTCTTCCTGATCCTCCGTCTCCCCTCTCCCAGCTTACCTCCTCCTCTCCTGCGCTGGCTCGCTACCTCCTCTCTTCTCTCGTCCTCTGCCTCATGTAGTGCCTTTAGATTCAGAGCATCGCGCTGGAGGGAGAAGCTCTTGCTCTTTCTATCTCCTCCTCTGGGAACTTTATCGTGACGGGAGGGAAATCGCAGGTAAGGGAGGAGGAGAGGCAGGAAAGAGGTGGAAGAGGGAGGAAAGGGGATCAGAAGGGGAGGAAGGATGGGAGGGAGGGGGCACAGAAGAGGGAAGGGAGGGGAGAAAGTGGAGGAGGAGGGAGGATAGAGGATGATGGTGTATTTTCGCTGCAGGTTCTTCAGCTTTGGCTGTTTGAAGGAGGGAATCGGTTAGCAGATGGGATGGGCCATTCGGGAAGCATCAACAGGTAAAGGTGGAGCGCGAGAAGGGGAGGAGGAGGAGGAGGAGGAGTACGGATCAGTTGTGAAACGCGAAAAAAGGAAATGGAGGAGGAGGACTGGTAGGGTCGACTGACATGTTTTTAGTGTTGCCTTCAGCCCTGATGACAAGCAGGTAAAAGTGTAAAGGAGGAAGTGGAAGAGGAGGAGAACAGCGGGAGTAGAGTGCAGAGGGGGGAGGTGCTGAGGTTGCGAAGGGGAGAGGGAGGAGGAAGGGGAGAGGGAGGGAAACAAGGTAGGACAAAGCAAGGAGAACGGGAGGAAGGGAGAAGGAAAGTTCAAGCGAAGGGAGCAGATGAACGCGTGAATCAATGTGACGTGCTGTGTCAGATCGTGTCTGTCGGAGAAGATGGATGTATCTTCGTGTGGAACGTGTACACTTAAGAACAAGCCTGATCAATAAAACAAGACATGTTGAGAACGAGTGTTGATGAACAAGACATGTTGAGAACATACATGGATCACGGTAATCGAATTCTCAAGGTCACACAAGTGATGTCCAGCCCTCAACTCCTCGCACCCACCTCATCCTCTCTGACGTGATCCCGTCTCCTCCTACCACCTCGCTCTCCAACGTACACCTCTCCTCCCTTCACCTCCTGACCCGATTGACTATCCTCCCCATACCCTCGATCGACACTTCCACCTCGTCCCCGTCCTCCAGGTACCTGCTCCCCGGTCATCCTTCCTCTTGCTCCTCCTCGCGATCCCTCCGATCGTCTCCGTCTCACCTCGCAGGGCTCTTGGAATGCCCGACTCCAGCTGGTGTCCCAGTGAGGATGATCTGAAGCAGGAGCAAAAGACGGAGGCGCAGGCGAAGGAGGAGGAGGAGGAGGAGGAGGAGGAGCAAGCATATCAAAATTTCATCGCATCGATCAGACAATCTCACTGTTCCAGGTAAGAGAGTCGAGCCGATGGAGAGGAAGGAGATAATTTCAGCTACTGTGAAGATCATGTCGGAGGTGCTGCAATCCTGAACCACCTGCAGCACTGTGACAATGAGGAGTACACATATAGATGCTCAATCGGTTTCGTCCTAAAATCATCATCATCATCATCGATTGCAACAGCCAAATAATCATCGATAACATGAATTCCAACATCCACAAACGCATCACCGTCTATATTACCATTAAAATCCATCAACTACTTTACACCAGGCAAAAACGCGCGGAGGGAATATGGAAGTGCAACAATAAGGTTGAAGGAGATTCGAGGAGAGGAACGCAATGGCGGGAGGAGGGAACGAGAGGAAAGGAGCGAAGAAGAGAAGGGAGAGAGAAGAGGGAGAGAAAGAGAGATGGAGAGGATAGATACGTGTGGATACATCAAATGATGCCTGCACAATCATGCGATCTTGCACAGAACATGTATCAAATACTCACTTGTCCGTTGACCTTCGTCGTGATGCGCAGGTCCTGAAATGCAGGTGAGAATGAAAGAAAACAAAACTCCTCCTCCTTCTCCTCCTCCTTCTCCTCCTCGACATCAGCATCATCATCATCATCAGCAGCAGCAGCAGCAGCAGCAGCATCAACACCACCACCACCACCACCACCACCACTACCACCACCACTACCAACACGTTGGACATCTGAATGACAAACTTCTACCTGCGGGTCCCTGATGTCCTGACTGTCAAACATCTTCAGACCGAGAGGAAAGGAATTGTATCGAAGGACTTTGACCGATTCCCACTGCTCAGATACTCAAAATCAATATATCCTCCTCCTCCTCCACCACCTC